CCTTCCCACATCCTAGCCTTCTGTACAAAACGCTACCCTAAACACAGGCTGTTGTGTTAGCTTTCCATTGCTATGACAAAATACCTGAAAAAGATCAACCTAAAAGGAAGAGAGGTCTGTTTGGGCTCACAATGTCCATGGTCCCTTGTCCTGGTTGCCTTGGGTGGGGTGGCCAAGGACATCATGGTGAAGAGTGTGTGGAGGAGGGCTGGTTGGTCACCTCACGGTTGGTAAGAAGGGAGAGGGAGGGTCTGAGGTCCCAGTCCCCCTTCTCCAGGGCACAGCCTGAAAGACCTAGCTTCCTCCCACCAAGGCCACCTCCTGATGGCACCACCACCCTCTGCAGCACCCAGCCTGGGGACCAAGCCTTCCACACCAGAGCCTTTGGGAGACATTTACAATCCAAACCCTAGCATTCCTCCCTGACCCCAAAGGCTCACATCTATATCAAATGCTAAACGCACTTCGTCTGTCCCCAAGAGTTCCCAACATCCTAACAGCCCCAGCATTGGCCAAAAGTCCAAGTCCAAATTCTCCCGTGAGACTCAAGGCAAACTTATCTGTGAGCCTTGTAAAATCCAAGGAACAAGTTACCTGCTGCTGAGATACAGCGGCTCAGGGTAGAGGGCTGCCACAGCCACTTCTGCTACGGGGTCAGAACCTTGCTGTCCTGATAAGAACAGAACACCTCTTGATCCAAGAGGTACTCATGTTAGTGAAATTCCAAGCTTATGGGAGGAGCAAACATCTTCACTGAGGGTTATTACCATGGAGGGTGCCATGCAGTATGTTTTGACATCTTTGTAAAATCCAATGGTTAATTAAGAAGTATTGTGCTTAGATATTGCATAACTTCTTTTATATGAGAAACACAAAGTATAAATAATTTTTAAAAAACAAAATAAAAGATAGATAATAGGAAACAGGGAATAGATTGTTTACAAGTGGGAAGGGAATCTAGAGACAGAGGGAGGAAAGGGGAAGGAGGAGAAAAAGAATGAAGATGTGTTGTGCACATGGACTAGCCCTTGCGTCATTTTAAGCCATAATGCGACCATTATGTACTGCAAACAAATACAGCGGTGTCTCTGTTCACAAACTTCATTTTTTCCATGATCCTGATCACAAACTGAATTGGACAAAAATTGAATCAAATTTCGCCATAAGCCCAACATCGAACCTAACCATTGAATTTGATTCGATTTGGTTCTCATCTAATTCAGTTTGGGACCAGAATTGTGAAAAGAATTAAGTTCGTGAACTGAGGTACCACTGTCCTACTAAAAAAAATTCTTTTTAAAGGTATTGTACTTTCAGTATGACTGGGCTGGGTTTAGAGGGAAAATCAGGAAACCTATCAAATCCTGTATTCTCCAGACAGCAGCAATTCCATGTGGGAACTTGAAGAAATACCAATTCCAGGGCCACCTCAGACCTACTGACTTGGGTGCAGGGCATGAGAGGGCCTGGGAGGGTGCCCTGGGGTCTGCCTAACAGCCTCAGGAAGTAGCTCTGAGCAGGCCCTCCTGGCCCTGTGCCTGTGTCTCCCTGGCCTCCCGGGAAGTGAGGGGATGTAGCCCTCCTCACCTGTCCCCAAGGCCCCCTGCAGCCCTGAGCCATACCTTCCATCCTACCCACGAGCTAGGACAGCCAAGTTGGACTCCTGCTTAGGTTGCTGCCTGGCCCTTCCTCCTGGAAACATGCACAGCAGGCTGATCACGGCTCACAAACCCTGGAGCAGCTTTCGTGCTGGGCCAGGCCCTGCTCTCAGCAATTTCCATGCCTGTCACAGAGGCCAGGTGGGCAAGGAGCTGAGGCAGAGGCATGGGTGCAGTGCCCACACAGAGCTGAAGTGGGGCATGCAGGAGCTGACATGGCACCTGCTGTGCCCGGGCTGGGTGGCTTGCCAGGTATACCAGCCAGCTGTACATGACTGCTCTAAGCCGGGAAGGCCCTGGGAGGGAGGAATCTGGCTTCAGAGGGCAGCTTATGCTGGGCCAAGGGGAAAAGGCAGGAGGGTGGGGTCTGCTCCAAGACCCAGCCACAGGACCCTGTATCCCTCACCATGGCCTCCTGGTGCCTCGAAGGCAGAGCAGCTTAGGAAATGCCCAGTGAACATAAGGGCCCTGCTCCCGGTGCGCACTGGCTTCCACCCGCAGGCATTTGCCATGGGTAGGGGTCCTGGATGGCACACACCCCAAGCCCCAACCCAAGCAGCCTGGGCTCCAGCTATGAGAAATGGCTCCTTCTCCCCAGCTGTGGGTGAGCACCTCCCCACACCTTCCTCTCTGCGCTCTGAGATCAGTGCCAGGACCCAGCTTCACAGGACAAAGGACTCCTGCAGATGAGTGTTCCAAACGACCCTCTGGCAAACAGATTTCACACAGCTATGCCGGAAAGGTATGCAAATGGTGTGGCCAGCACATCTCAAGATCCTACCTCTCTCTGAAGACTCCCCCAAGAAAGCTACTCCCCTCCAGCCCTGCACCCCACTCCGGCAGGGCTGTCTCTCCACCGGGACCCTCAGCCAGGGCAGTCCTCTGGGTCTTGGCTGTAAGTCTGGTCCCCTGAGATGCACCTGAGGTCACTGAAGGCAGGATGTCTTTCTCTTCCCTCCAGGCGCACTGGGCACGTTAAGATGGCTCCCTGAGTGGTATTGGAGGTGCAAGTCCCTGTACCCTGAAGCCTTGTGGCCGGCACACAGTGAGTGACCCAGTATGACATTGCTGGGGACACAGAGCTGCTGTGAGGCACTTTGAGGCCCTGGGACAAAGCGCTTCCCACACAGGGACATTGCTCCTGGACTTGCTGGGGCCTTCTCTGTCTGGGATGGATGAGGAGGTCAGGTGGCAACCTCTGGCTTCTCACCTGTGCTCTGTGTGTGCAGAGTTCTGGAACACGCCCAGGGCCCACGATAGGTGAGCATCACACCCAGCCTCTACACGCACACCTCACAACCAGGTGGCAGGCTGGCTGGCTGCGCCCCTTCTGTTCTGCTGGCCTTCTCCTGGAACATGGGCCGGACATTGTGACTTGGACCCAGAGAAGGGAGTAAAGGGCTTGGGACACCACTTCTGTGGCGAGGTCACAGGGCACTGTGCTTCAGCCCTGCCAGTGATGAGGTAGGTCGGCTGGAGCAGCTAAGGGACAAGGGACAGGGGTGGCCTTCATCCCCAGAGCCCAAGGACCTCAAAGCTGACACTGCCGGGTCAGCAAGCTTGGAAGCAGAACTTTCTGGGTCTATCTTTGGGATGAGACCACAACCTGGCCACACCCCAACTGCAGCGTTTCGAGAGGCCTTGAGGCAGTGGAGCAGCCCAGATGTTTCCAGATTCCAGGCCCCAGATTCTAGATAAATAATGCAGATGCTGAGGTGCGGACCTCCAGCTTTTGGGGAGTCTTTTAAGCAGTTCTGGTCCGTAAGGAGTTCTCAGCCTGGTGGCTTCTAGTTCAGAAAGAGCTGGGGAAGTCCCAAAGGGTTATGAGATCCTTGCGCTGTTGAACATGTCAGTTCTTAACATATGCCAGGGGACCACACTTCTCCCAAACTGACGTGATTTCCATTTGTCAGTGCAGGGAAAAAAGCCAGATGCTCTTGCGCGGGACGGGCGTGTGGCTTTGGTTGAAGTATTTACTACTGGGATCTAGCTGGAAAGTGACGGTTTCCTGGCTGAGGCACAAATCAGAGCCTGGGCCCGAGAGAGGCCCCAGCTCCTTCCCAGCCCATCAGCCTGGCACCAAGCAGGCGTCACCAGCCAAGTCCCCTGGAGCAGCTGCACAGCCAGCAGGTTCTGGGCCAAGCCCCCTACCCTGCAGTGACCTGCAGCGTGATTTTAGGAAAACACATTCTGTGTAAGCCGCTGATAAATGGGATTGGTCCTGCAGGTAACCCAGACCAGTGCTTCTCAAAGTGGGGCCCGTGGGGACTGGCAGCCAGAAGTGCAAGCTCCTGCGCGCCCCTCCAGCAAGCCCTGAGTTATAAGGGGCGTGGCTCTGGAAAGGGGGCGTCCCCTCCAACTACGCAGGGACAGCCTGGCACTAACTTTCCCACCCCGCCAGCCTGGGTACAGATGAGCCAGTAACTCCCCGCCCAGGAAGTCAGGGAGAGGTATGGCGGCCTCACTCATTGGTTACTCCCTTCTGAACACCCTTGCCGAGGCCTGATGTTAGAAAATCTCTGCAGAGGCAGCACGGGAGGTGGCCCACGGACTCAGGCCTGGGGCAACAGCATCTCAGCAGCAGCAGCTTGAAGATCAAATGGAGACCAGGAAGGAGTCACTCACTGAGGCCCAAGTCGCCTGTGCACAAGCTCATTGGCTGAGAGGGGCCACCTCCACATCCCTGCTGGCCACCAGACCCAGGCATCTGACCCCGCCCTACAGCAGGAAGGATGTCACTTGGGGACGTCCCCCAGGGCACCAACTGCCAGGGTGGAAAGTGAGGCCAGCATCTGTCAAGGTCTGAAATCTAAGAGCTGGTGACATTCAGCTCAGCTGCTTCATAAGCTGCCCCTGCCATGTCCTTGCCTCCCTGCGGGAACAGCTGTCCATAGCCAGGCCCCTCCCAGGAGCAGCTGGGGGCAGCACTTCCTTCCCCTCTGGCCCACTGCTGTGATGCAAGAGCATACGGTGTCCCGGGATAGTGTGCAGTCATGCGTGGGTCTCATGCAGTGGAGGGACCTGGTCACCCTGAAAAAGGCAGCAAACGACATTGTGTGCGGTGGAAACAGTGAACTCGATTTATTGAAAAACGGTTACAATGAGCCTCTGCTACGCAGGTGTAAAATACCTTAAGACAACCCTTTTGTGGTGCAACACTTCAAATATAGGGCACATCTATGGACATTTAGGGTACAAACAACATGTCCTTTGGCCCTGAATTTCAAAGGGCCCAGTGTCCTAGAATCTTTATCATAGGTTTTCTGTTTACTGTTTTTTTTTCTTTTCTTTTTCATTTGTCCAATTATATATATGGGGAGGGAAAAAATTACACCACAAGAGTGCCTGCAAATATAAGAAGTGATTTTATTGCAATATACCTTAGCTAAAGTGGTTTCGGGGAGAACAGGACACATTTTGGACTTCATACAAATTACAACTTTGAGGGGACCAACAGAAAATGACAAATGAAAGGACAAATCTGATGGGGGAGGTGAAACAGAATCACATGACCTAGACCAAGTCCACAGGGCACTGCACGCACGACAGTTCCAATATGGCGTTTCACGTGAGGAGAGGCACACAGCGGTCACGGTGCCTGCTGGCGTCCTGGCTTCGAGAGTCCCTAAGCCAGGCTTTTCTTTGGCAAGAGTGCGACTTGTTTTCTGGGGAGACACGGGGAGTCGGCCTTGCTGGTCTTCTTCCTGGGATGCTGCAGGCGTGTCCCATGGTGGTCAGCCTGCTCCCCAGCACTGCTTCCCCGTGGTGGAGCCAGGGGTGTGGCGGAGGGCACGGTTCACAGTACAGGGACTGCTGGCTGGCCTGGGCTCCACCGTTCACACAGGCAGCCCCTCGCCCCGGACAGTGAGGCCGAGGCCCAGTGGGAAGTGTACCAGCCTGAGCTCCAGAGCAGCCAATGCCCGTGTCCCAGACATCCGAAGGCCGAAACCCGATTGCTTCTGTGGGAAACAAGGGCCGCAGCAGGCCCGAGACACCCAGAGTTCATTGCACATTTCTCGACCTGCGTGCGAGGCAGTCTCCGGCTGAGACCACGGGTACATGGGGCACCTGAATGGCCTCAGCTCAGTTTTTGCAACAGACAGAAATCAGTACCACGAACACAGTCCGCAATGGCCATACCACGCAGGATGCAGGAAGTCGTTATTCTGCACGTGTGTGTGTGTTCAGATCAAGTCCACACAGCCCAGTAACGGGACTTGGGGGCAGGTTCCCCGGCCAAGAACAGCACCCGGAGGCTCCGCGCCCGCTGGGAGGGGAGGTGGCATCTCCTACAAGGCCCTTGGCAAAGACTCGGCTCCCAGAGTCAACGCCCAGGGGAAGGAAGCCCGGAAGAGGAGCACCAGCAGACACCCCCCCCATGTTGCCTCCTACAAGATCTTCAGACATAGCACCACAAGAGAAGTGTAAAAAATCAGCACCAAGTTTCACTTAATTACCATCTACACAAATCTCGGTTTCCTGCCCAGGCTCTGTAGAAAGGAAAATGGAAAAAGGAAGCAATCAAAATGAACCGAACCCTGCGTCTTAGTCTAAGTACATATAGAAAAAGCAGAGTATCGGATTCTTTTTTCCTCCCCATAGAAAAACCAAACTGGCCTGGAAAAGGGGTCTGGCACTGATTTTTCTTTGGCAGAAGGGCTTCTGGGGACCTGGGTGAATTTCCAACTTACTGCATATTCTTGTCAGGGTGGGGCAGGCCGGGGCAACTTCCTACTTCTAAAGAGGAGGCTTTATCCCCTCCGCCCGTTCTCCCCGGGGGCCTGAGGCTGGGGTTTCCACACACCATTGAAAGTCAGGCACACTTAACATTTATAACAATACAATACAAATATTTACTTAAAACTCACAAAAACATAAGCACCTTTAATCCATCGGAAAGGCACATGCAGAATGACATTTGGCCTCTGAATGGATCGTGTTGAGGGTGGTTAAAAACAGAGGCTTTGGCGACCTTTGCAAGGCTGGCCTCCGCACATTTTTTGAAGGTCAGGGGAAATACACATCTTCAAGTTGAATTAAAAAAAGAAGTGATATCCAAATACTGCCACCCCAGCCCCAACCCCTGTCCACTGTCCACGATGCGGTCCATCAGCGGATCCGGTGAGCAAGGGGCCAGGGCAGCAGCCGGCTCCCTCCGTGGCCTGGGGTGTAGACGGAACGTGGGTGTGGCCTGCTAGGTCATGTGATTCGGCTCCGTTGGGGGTGGGCGTGGCTCTCTCCCAGCCAGAGCGCAGGTTGGCACCGCCAGCCAGGTGCCGGGCGCAGATGAAGTCCGGTGGGAGGGGCACGAGAAACCTTCGCCGTCTGAGCTGACGGCGCTCGGCGCTCGTGGGGACACTCACAAGGGGCGTGCTGAGGTCACGAGGTTGCGCACGGCTCCTAGCCCATGAAGCAAGCCTGCCCCACTTCAAATCCAAACTTCTGTGCTGCGTCGCCGAAGTCGTTGAACATGATGTCCACGATGGGTACCTGCTCCACTTTGGGGGTGTCTATCTCCAGCACCGTCTTCTGGTAGCCTTTCCTGGTCTGGAAGGAGGAGACAGGCGGACACGGTTAAGATCCAGGGGCCTCTTAGGGGCAGCCGTCAGAGCCGGCACGGGCTCCATGAATCGGGCTTGGGGCCACCTCTCCCTGCCCCACCCACACATGACGAGCCACGCGGGTGGTACCGTGGCCGCCTGAATTTGGCAAGTGTTGGAGGAAACATGGCGGCTGAGAGCGCTTCACCCCTCATGGACATCCGAAGCCACCGCACAGTCTGGGGTGGGGCATGGGAACTGGCCTCAGCAGGGCCCCTCGCTCCCCACCCTATGGAGATACCCCATCCCACCAAGCTCCGGGCGCAGGGCAGCTGACAGGGTTTATATCTGGACATCTCCCAAGAGCCTCAGGCGATTATAGGCGGGACTTTTGAAAGGTGACGGGATCCCAGGGAGCCTTGTGGCTGGCTTGTTAGGAGGTGGGGCCTGGCTAGGGGCGGGGCCTGGTTGGAGTCGGGGCCTGGGGCATGACCTGGAAGGGTTCAGCTCCTCCCTGGTTCAAATCTGCCATGCCCCAAGCAGCTCTCCTTTGCCCAGGCCCTTCGGCCATGCTGCCAACCGTGCAAGGACTGAAACTTCTAAAACACGACCCAGTGAACCTCTCACTAAAGTTGGGGGTGTCAGTATTCTGTCCCAGAGACAGAAAAGTGCCTTAGATACCAGCCCCGTCAGGGCAGCTAGAAAACCAAGATCAAGATGAGGGGCTCCTTGTTCCAAAGTGGGGAATGACAAGGTGGTCACAGCAGAGTGCTGAACTGAATGCGGGATCCCTGCCACCGCCCTGGGGACTCAGGCAGGGACCCCGGGCAGGAGAAGGAGCCAGCCTCCCAGGTGCAGGGGGGACAAGAGCCTACACACCAGCCCTCTGGAGGAGCTCTGGGGAGGCTGAGGCCTGGGGCCAGTGACCGGCCCTTAGCGAGGCCAGCAGGGTGCAGCCCCTCCCAGGGTGAGCAGACTTCCAGAGAGGCTCCCTCCTCTCGGGCCCCATGTCCCAGACCCGGGGAGGAAGGTGCACCATTGCTCTGGTCCCCAAAGCCACTCAAGTTCAGCTCCGAGTGTTTGGGACACAGATCAACAAGGCTGACCTGGCCCTGCTGCCTGGTCAACTTCCCCAGGAAAACAGTCCCTGAAGGCCACAGCTTTCCCTTGGGACACCCACAGCCCACATGTCCTGGACAGATTCAGACTATGAGCCAGGTCTCCCTCCAGCACTCCGTCCCTGCAGATGTCCGCCAGGGAAAAGGAAGTTGCCAGGGTTCCCTCCAGTGGGCACTGTGGCTGGGATGCAGCTGGCAGGGGGTCCCATGTGACTGTGAGGCCAATCCTGACTCAGCCTTGGTCAGTCCCTGGCTGGGGAGGGGGCACAGTCCTCGGGGCCTGTCTTCTATGCAGAGGGCTGAGTGTTTTCCCAAATGCACATTGGAACCTGACCCACAGGTGATGGTAGAAGGCATCAGAGTGGAGGGTGCAGCCCCCAGCAGCAGAGAGTGCTCTCACAAAGTGGCCTCAGAGAGGTCCCTCGCCCTCACTCTGCCACATGCAGATGCAGGGATGGTCAGGTGCCTGTGACCCAGAAGAGGCCATCATCAGGACCTAACCCTGCTGGCACCTGCCCTCAAACTTCCCACCTGTGGAGCCACGCACAGTGAGTGCCCATGGTCTGCCACAGCCCGGGCCGTGGACATTTCTCATGGAGCCTAAGAGGACCACAGAGGCCCTCAGCCAGGACTTCCCAGCTCTGCTGTACTCGTATTCCTGACCTCAAACTGGGGTGGTAGCAGAGTCCTGTTGTCCTAAGCTGCTGAAGTTAATTTGTTTCAAACAACAGATAATGAATACACTCCCCTTGCCTCAGTTTCCCCAGTGGAAGTGAAGAAGTTCACAGAAGAGGGTTGAGGACGCAGAGCCACAACAGGTCCTCCTGGCATCTGCTGCGAGAGCGTGTCCAGCTCTTTCTCCTCCAAGTCCTTCCACCCCATCTTTCCCAAAGCCCACCCAGTAAGAGCACCCCTCATACTGTGGCTGGGCCCAGAGCAGAGGGTACAAAGCAGGGCTAGGACCTCAGAGGACAGGAGTCCTCAGGGCCCTTACAGCCTAGAGCCCCCACCTGCCCTGGGGGCTTGGCTCCCAAGTTCTAGGGCAGGATGCAGAACCTGCACTTTTAAAAACCAGGCATCTCAGGCTGTGCTGCTATTCACAGTTGGCTGGCTGTGCTGTGAAAGGCTGTCGGAAGAATGTCACTGTTGGGTGGCCCAGCACCTGGACAGCACAAGTGGTGAGCTGCTGAGCATCCTGGAGTGTCAGTGGCCCCCTCTAGCCCTTGGGTCCACCCCAATGCACGGCCATAGCGCCCCACCCCAGGGAGAAGGAAGCAGGGACCGACTGGCTTGCACCTGCAGCTGTGCACAGCACCCTCGAAGGGCCCCCAGCCACCTGGGAGAGCCAGCCCCTCACCCGCTGGGCCAGCGAGGAAGAGCCAGACACCACTCTGCCACCCAAAGGCCGCCTCCTTGGGCTCTGCTCCCTCACCTGGTCTGACCAGGCTATCAGATGCAATCACTGCTGGCCCTCGCCAGGCCTGGACGCGGTCACAGGGACCTGTGTAATCTCAGTAACAGGCCAGCCAGGGAGCCGACCACAGGGCCGCGCCTGATCTCCACCCCGGGATGGGGAGCCCAGGGCCTTCGTGGCTGCAGCAGTGGCCTCTCCTCCACCCTGGGTCGGGCAACACGTGCTGAGCCAGCAGGTAACAGTGCTGGATTTATAGGGCCCCTCCGCTCCAATTATCAGAGCACACAGAAAGGGGTGTATTTGAAGAAGGCCTCAGCCCATGGCTGCGTTACCCCGTTATTCCGGAAGCATAAATAACCATTAAGGCCCCAATGGCCCCCTGGGGGCGCACAAAGCTGTGCAAACAGCACGATTTATGTGGCAGGCGCCTCGGCTCTCTTGCCCGTGATTTGTGCCCCTACAGGGCTGGCCGCTCAGCAGCCCTGTCAATCAGGCTGCCCAGCCAGAGGATGAAACGGAAGGTCATGACCTCCCCGAGTGAGGTGGGACATCTGGGGGCTCGGGGCAGGTGGCACCGCAGGTCCAGGTGGTGCTGTTGCTCCCTGCCTCATGTCACCAGCCCTACCTCCACGTGCCCCTGCCTGTCCCTTCCACCTGCCCCTTTGCCAGCTGGCTGCGCTGTTGTCCTGAGTCCTTATCTCCCCACCCTCTCTACGGCAGGAACTTTTCTTCCCAGAAGTAAAAACTGGAGGGAGCCACCTCTCCTGCCCCTGTCCAGCACCCAGTTTACATGTCCCAACCTTGCGCCTGGCCTCTGCTTCCTGAGAGCTCAAAGGACCTCGGCGGGCGGGGAGGGGACAGCCTGACTCAGGAGGGTTCTGGGCCAGCACACACTGCAACAGCCTGACCACACCCTGGAGCCATCCACAGCGGCAAGGACACTGAGAAGCAGCAGGAGCCACGAAGGGCCACCAATGGAGCCCCCAGGGGACGGGGACAGCCTAAAGTGATGCCCAAGGCCGGACAACAGGCACTGGGGTATGGGCCTCAGGCAGATTCTCTCGGGGAGAAGACAAGAGAATGGGGGTCCCACGTTAAGGAGCCCCAGTACGGTGCTCAGCGAGGCTTCCTGGTGACACCACCCTCCAGCTGCTAAGAGGCCACGCAGGGCCACATGTCTGACGACTTCAACGAGACTGGATGCTGGTGACAGTCACACTCTAAACATCTCCAGGACACAAGGACTCACCCAGACCTTCGTGACCAGGGTGGGGTGCACCAATGCTGGGGTGCGGGGTGCTCTAAGGATCCGGAAGTGAGGAGCGCGCCCGAGGTGGATGCGTCAGGGGACACTCACCGCGCAGCCATCCGCCAGGGCGTGGATGTAGGGGTTGTTGTCATAAGACATCTCCTCGTCGTTGGAGCCCAGGAAGCGCATGGCCTTGTCATAGCTGCCCGTGGTGGCATCCTGCCAGGCCACTGACTGGTAGCAGTGGTAGGTGATGTTCTGGTGGGCGGAGGCACTGAGCAGCCTCAGGAAGGTCATCTGCACCACACCCACGGGGTTTCCCTCTGCGTCCACATAGGAGAGCTGCGGGTGGGATGAGGGCGGGCTCAGCAGGGTGGGGAGATGGCCTGGCCCTCCTTCCTCGAAGACTGTGCACTCAGCCCAAGGTGGCACGTGGGGCTCTGGGGCTCCTGGGGACAGGGCCATGCGCCACCTCCGCCTTCTGAGCCCGGAGAGGGCAGGGGCCCAACCCGCGGTCACCAGTTTAATAAAAGGCTGCGGAATCACAGATCACAGCCTCGGAGTGCAGAGGCCTGGGGTCACCAGGCCCTGCACCACCCAGGTGTCCCCTGGTGTTCCCCCTTCCCTCTGCCTGCTGTCCTCCTCCCTTTCTGCAGGCCGGGCACCTGCCAGCCTTGGATGAGCCCACTCACCCCCGGCCCCCCACCAGGTCTGAATGCTCGGAACATGTAGGATGCACCAGGCACCGCTCTTGGAGGAAATACACGTCACATGGAGACAGGCTCCATGGGGCTCTGCCCTCCCACCTGGCTGGGAGTGACATGCGGCTCCCCCACGGGGATCCCAAAGGGGAGGAGGCAGGAGGAAGCTCTCTGGGGCCTCCAGGTGTCCCTGCCCCGACAGCCCCACCTGGTCCTGTGGCCCCTGAGCCTCCGTGGGCTTCTCCCTGGGCCCAGATGCTGCCTACTCTGCAGCACTGGTCACCACAGCTGCCACCCCGTGCCAGGCCCTGATCCTGGGGAAGACGCCACTAGGGAGATGCGAAGAAGGCGCCCTGCTCTGTGGGCGCCCCGAGCTCTCTTGCATCCCTGCACACCAGCACTGGTGGTCAGTCCGGGGTGCCTGCTGCCTCATGTCCCACCCCTGCTCAACCATGAGCGCCATGAGGACAGGGTGGGCACGTGTGCCCAACACCAGCCAAGGAAGGCGCTATGTGGACACGGAAAGCTCTGTGAGCCTGGCCAGCCTCGGGCAGTGAGTTGGGCCCCAGGGATGATGGGCAGGAAGACAGGGTCGGGCTATGTGGACAGCTGGGGCAGCCAGGCATGCCCGCTGGAGGCAGGGGGTGTCCCGGGATGGCATCTAGCACGGCCCCTCCTCCCTTCCCCAGGTGGGAGCAAGCAGCTGGCCACTCGCGGACCCCCCGGCTGCACAGACAGCCGGGCTCTGGCTCCGTGACCCTGGCTGGGAGGCCCCGTCTCTACCACAAACCCAGTGGCAGCATCGGGAAGGACAAGGTGCCACCGGCTGGGTCCCCAACACTGGGCTGCTCTGCTCTGCCAGGCCAGGCTGGCACAGGGTGCCCCGGGAGGTGGGACTTAATTTCTGCACCGCTTTCTGCCACACTGCACACTGCAGGGATGTGACTGTCCCTTAGGTCCCGTCCAGGAAGGGCTGGTGACCAGCGGGCCTATCCTGCCTGGGCCTCGTGTCAGGGACCAGAGTTGTCACCCCGGTGGCAGTGGCCCCAACACTACTGTCAGTCCCTGAAGGGGGTGTGGGACATGCAGGGGCTCCTAGGACCAGTGCTGGCATGGGCGTGGGCATGGGCGTGGGTGTAAGGTGAGGACTGCCCTTAGCCTCTGCCCCAGTCAGCAAAATTAGAAAGCACGGAGGTAAGGGAGGAGGGATGTAGGGCTGGGACGCCACTCCTCAACATCAGTGCCATGGGACACCCTGGCTCCCCAAGGTACAAGCAAACCCCACGCGTCACGGACAGTGACGGTGGACCTTAGGGTCAGACCTGTGGACAAAAACCAAGTACCAACCAGCATCCGGGCCATCGGTGCTCCTGGGGGTAACTGTGACTGACTCGAGAGAGGACGCATGCAGGGAGGGGTGGACACAGAAGGACCTAAGCCAGCTCAGGCCTGGCCTGGAGCCCCTGTGAGGGGCCTCTGCGGCACAGCCGTGCTGGCCTGGCCCTGGCAGCCAGCTCGGACCAAGGCCGGGGCCTCCGGGCAGAGGCCGCCTTCCATCTCCCACGCACCGTGACATTCAGAGGCAGACACGGGCAGCGAGCAGACCCCACAGCAGGGCCGCCCTGGGTCACCTGCACCTCTGCCTGTGTCACCTGTCTGGGAAACAGGACAAGCAGGGCAGGGGTGGCCGTGTGGGCTGACGACTGGACATGCCAGTGTCATTTCACTGCCTCAGAACGGACGCCGGACGTCGGAGGCCTCCCTGTGGCCCAGGCCACCACAGTGGGGCGGAGGCAGGGCCACACACCTGGTGGTGACAAGCCAGGACCAGCCACCTCCCCGACTGGGGCAGCTTCACCCAGGGCTCCTTTCTGCCTGACCCTTGACCCCTGAGGCCCGATGTCCCTACCCCTGTCCTCCCAGGCCCTGGCCACGGCCACCCTCCCCAGAGCTGGCCCTTCAGTCCTCCTGTGTACCAGTGGCTCTGCTCGGAAGACAGCACGGACAAGGTGGAGGGGAGGGAAGGGGGAGAGGAGGCGAGGACAGACGCCTGCGTCGACAGCGGGGACAGCGGCAAAGCTCCGGAGACGCGGCAGAGGGGAGCACGGGCCGCAGCGTGCCAGGGCGGGAGCTAGGGTGTGTGAGGGTCACACTGAGCGGGAGCCCCCAGCCGAAGGGACGAGGGCTTCAGAGGCGGGGCAGGGCAAAGGCAGCTGGAGCCACGGCTCTGAATCCTTGCGGGGAGGAAGAGAGCATGGGCTGCTGGTGGCACTCAGAGTGGCCTCTCAGGGGCGGCACAGGGGAAGGGACTGAGCTCAGCAAGGGACCTGGAGCTGCCCCTAGACGACGTCTGTCCCTCAGCCAGGACAGACAGACAGAGCCTCTCAGTTTATCCCAGTGCAGCCACAGCCACTGGCCTTGCAGTACGAGCCCCAGACTGGCTCCTGTCTCAGTGCCGGCCAGAGGGGTGTCCTGCCTGCACAGCCGTGGAGCACGGCACAGAACCACATGGCTGGGCGCGAGGGGCACCAGGGGGCATGTGTGGTAGGCGCTTGGAGAACACTCGTTCTCTAAAACAAGCACCTGCACCCGCTGCCTGCTGACCCTGACGCCCTCCTGCCCTCGACGGCCCCGACCTTGGTGCCCGTGTAGCTGGTGGTGCCATCGTGGGCAGCGCAGCAGCCTGGCCTGTTGCTGCTGCTATCTCAGTGGAGGGCATCTGCCTGCTGCCACTAGCGGGAGCTGCCACAGGGCTGCAGGAGAGTCCCTAGGCTGGCGGAGCCCTGCCCACTGTCACTGCGGTGGAGTGAAGTGGCCGAAGGGGCAGGAGCAGGCGTGGCCCGGTGTCAGCGGCGAGTGGGCCATGCAGAGCTGGGAGCCAGGCTGAGCCATAGCGAGCAGCGCGGGGCGGCCACTTACCAGGGAGCCGCGCTTGTACTGACTATACCAGGTAGAGGGCCGCTCTTTGGGCCAGCGGGCCATTTTACTCTGCAAGATAGGAGATGGGCGCGTTTAAAGTGACAACCGCAGGGGACGGAGGGGCCGCCTTACCAGTTTCCCACGCTTGAATTCACTGAACCAGGAACCCGGGTTTTCTTTGGGCCAAGAAGTGATCCTGGCCTGCACACGGCGCAGGCGCGGTGGGAGGGAGAGAAACAGAAAAGGAGAGGGTGGGTTACTTCCCCGGCCTCCACCAAGATGCCCCGGTGCCCTGGTCCCTGGCATCCTGCCAAGGAGCCTGCCTCCCAAATACCAGAGGGTCCCATGGAGTGACGACAGCTCCAGGGCCTCCCAGAGCCAGGCCAGGTGACTGGGTCACAGCAGGGCCACACTTGGAGCCAGTGCAGGCGCCGGCTGGGAGTGATGCAATCGCCGAAGAAGGTGACAGCACTAAGAGCCAGTGTTGCTGCAGGGCCAAGCTGTGTGAGCCTCTCATCTTGTCTCCACCCCAGGGGTGTGGCGCACACCTCTGATGTGTGTGCATATGGGCATGTATATGTTGTGCGTGTGCGTGCGTGTGGTGGGGCCTTATCCAGGGTTCTGTGGCTGTGAGTCTTTAGAGCCGTCAGATGCTCTGCTGTGACAAGGAGACAAGAGCTCCCTCCCAACAAAGCCTGCTGGAAAGACAGGACCAAGCTGACCCCTTTGACACGGGGACAGCCTCTGTCCACCCGGGTCCCTCCCAGGGCTTGTTCCACTCAGGACCAGCCAGCTGCATGGGCTCAGAGATGCTGGGGACAGAGGGCAGTGTCTGAGCAAGGCCTTCCTCCCCTGTAGGGACCTTCATGGCCCCGTGCATGCCCTGTGGGTGTGGGGGAGAGCTCTGGGGGCCCCTGGTAGAGCTTATGGGGCCTCTGCTTGGGAGCCAGGCCCAAGGGGCTCATACCAGGAGGTAGAGACCTGAATCCTCACCCGCTGAGCCAGGCCATCTCCTCGGAGCAGGGCAGGGGCAGGGACAGCCAGGAGAGGTGGCTGCCGGAGGAAGGGGGCCCACCAGAGCCTCCGCCCTTGCTCCTGTCCCCAGATTTGCCATTTTCAAGGCCACACTGTGCGCACGTCAAGGTGACACCCCCCAGGCCAGAGCAGCACATGCAGGCTTCACCCCAGATGCCTGCTTCAAACTGGCTCCAGCTCCCAGGAGGCCCAGCGCCACCGGAGAGAGCAGTTTCTATTCACCGTGGGCTGACCCGCTGGCCCAGCTTGCAGGTGCCGGGCTGGTCCATGCATGTGGAGGAGCAAGGACCTGGGGGTGCTGGGGGCCACTTGAGAGCCCCCGCTGGATGCTGTGAAAGCCAGCAATGGCTCCCCAGGAAACCCCTGGGCAAGGGGTCTGTCTTGAGAATCCTCCCTTGGGAGGCCACCTGCAGAGGACAGAGAGTTACCAGAGGGAGAGAAATGCCTTTGCTAGCTGAGTTCTGTTCTGGGCCTCCGGAGAGATGGAAGGAAAGCAGGATGAGACCCTGGGCATGAAATCTCTGGAGAGCTCATCAGGACGGAGACTGTCGGGCTGGCGAGGGGACAGATCGGGGACAGGAGCCCACGAATCTCTCTGCTCCTGCTGCTGCCCCTGGGGTGCACCCCAAGGGGGTACTGGTGCTTATCTAGTTTACAGCGTGATTTAGAGACTAAGGGGATTGGGCCCCCGTGGGAGAACAGGGCTGCTCCCTCTCTGGCAGGAAACTGCTCCTCAGGTGACAGAGGCTATCCCGAAGCTGCAGCCAGATGCCGGCCCCGAAGGAGCCCGTGTGACCCCTGGAAGCCAGGGCCGTGACAGCCACCAGCTGCAGATGGGGTGTGTCGTTGGGGGCGTCTGTCTGCAGACTTCCACTGGAAGATCTCGTCCTCAAGCCCTAACCTTGCATACGTGTGCCACACGCACACCCACATGCATACACTCACACCCGGCCACACGAGCACAGATTTCTAGCTCAGTAGTGGGGCCTGGGAGGCCACTCTAGTACTTAGGTAGCACTGCACAAGATTCCTGCAAGTCAGAGCTCAGCTCCTCGCCCCCAAATTCTTTACTCAACAGACTTGAAAACAATGTGCTGTGCTGGGGGCCTGGAGCAAACCTCTGAGGTATAAAGGGCTCCAAGGATTCAGGCCCATGCAGCTTTCAGGAAATGCCTTTGGGTCACTTTCTTATCCTTCCCATGGCTCTGGATCGGCCCCAGGCCAAGGGAACAGCTGAGCTCCAGGGAGAGGCTGTCAGCCCCAGGGGCGGAAGGCGTCAGTGGGGCTGCAGTGACATTCATCGGCTGCCATGGATCCCCGCACAACCCGGGCCCAGCTCCTGCGGCTCCCTAGAAAATCTCGTAAACAGCGGAAATACTCCTGGACAAGGCTCTTGGGGCAAAAATGATCAGTTCCTGGCTTGGAGCCTTAATGAAAGCCGTGCACTCGTGAAACATGGCAGCCCTCGCCTAGCCCCGTGGTACTCACCCCCTCGGACTTCTTGTCGGGGAAGACGCAGGTCGCCCCGCCGGCCGTGAAGTTGCAGTAGACTTTAAAGGAGTCCCGGGAGCAGCCCTGGTTGGGGTCCACCCAGTATTCACCTGCATCACAGAGGCAGGGGAGGTCAGAGAGCTGCTCCCGAGACAGCTCAGAGGTGGGGTGGCACTGCAGTCCAGCATTTAAATGCACGTGGCTGGGGACCGGAAGCTGCCGGCCTGGCTTCCCAGGGCTCTCTTTCCCGCACTTGGCTCAGACCCATAAACACAGCCATTGCCGAAGCAGCTGGGCAGGGGCCCGGGGACCAGGGCAGGGGGTGCTCGGAATGAACTCTGGAAGCTCATGCATCTGGGGTCCAGTCTACTGGAACCATGACGTCCCCCAGGTTTCGGCAGAACATCCCAGGGGAAGCCCAGCTAATGCGATTTTGTTCCACAAGGTTCCTGGCTTGATGTCTGTGACATCCAGACTGAGTGGCACTGTATGGCGGCCCAGCCTTTGAAGCACCTAACAAGGATCCTGATTCTGACCCACACAGGGCTGGCCAAGCACCAGGCCAAGAGCATTTTACACCCAGCCCGTTTGCCTCTGCCCTCTCACCCACAGCAGGTCTTGCTCCTGTCTTACAGGTCGGGGACAGCGGGCCAGGCAGGTACAGCTAAGGTAAGATCAAATCCAAGTCTACCTATTTCCCCCGCCTTCTAGGACCACATCACGGCCCCCTGCGACACCTCTGTGGGTCACAGAGACAGCCCAAGGGCAGTGGAGGTGAGGAAGTGGCTCTGCCCACCAAGCCCTGGGCACAGTGCGGGCGGCCACACTCCTCACCGTCAGGGAAGTCAGGGTGGCAGAGCTGCAGGTCCTTGCAGGTGCGCGCTGGGTTCTGCTGCGTGCCCAGCGGCCGCTTCATCTGCTCGATCTCCAGCTTCAGCGAGTTGAGTGAGCCGAAGATCTCCTCCATGCCATCTGCGTAGTCCATGTAGCTCTCGCCCGCCCCGTCATCCAGCAGCTGGCTGGCATCAATATTCCTCCGCGTCCGCGAGGCCTGGATCGGCAGGGGCTGGATGACCTCGCCCGGGGGGCCCTGGGTGTGGGAGGGGCAGCAGTGGGTGGGACAGGCCACAGCTGGAGCCTCCCTCACCCCTTGTCTGTCATTCTGTCCTCAACTGGGCGAAAGGTCAGGCCTTGGGGGTGACCGGAGCGCCCTTCCGGCCTCTGCCGGTCAACTGGGGCTGAACATAGCGGAGAAACATAAACGCTGCAGATGCAGGGTGGGGCTCACTCTCGGGAGGCTCCACTGCCACAGGATGGGGGTCCAGAGGGCACACGACCACAGGGGGGTCCTGGGGGGCGCTCACTGCACCTCAGCTCACCACGAGCTTCATCCTGCACCTGGGGCCTTAGCTAGAGGCTCCCGACCCCAACACACATATATACACATGCACACACGTACACATGTGCACACACAATGCACATATACAGGTACACCCGTGAATGCACATTTGCACATACACACACGCAAACACATACCCACCAGTACACACGCACACACGTTCTCTCCCTCCCACCACCCTTCCGGGGCCGGGTCACCCTGCAAGGCCGGCGTGAACAGGTCTGGGGGCTCACTTTTCCCTGCTGTGTCTCAGGGGACACCCTCCCAGTCAGGCTGCGTGGGTCTCACGATTTCTGGAAAGTGAGCCCCCAGACAGACTCCCCTCGATTCTCCCAGCCCCCTCCTCTTCCATGGCTACTCACGGGTGGGCCGGGAAGTCCTGGCTGGCCTGCCTCACCCTTCGGGCCGGTGGGACCCTGGGGAGAGAGAAGCCACTCTTGGTCACCACGGGGGCCAGAGGTGCCCCGAGGTGGACCCTGAGCTCCAGAATGGCCCTGGAGCCTGCGGCGGAGGGGGACAGGTGTGGCAGGGCCTCTTCTCTCCTGGAGGGCTGGGGGCACCGAGAGGGTGGCACCCTCCAGGGCAGGGAGTGCAGCCCAGACATCCCACTGTGAGAGGGCCGGGGCAGTTTAGGGGATGCATCTCAAAAGAAATTCAAAGGAGCAACAGGTGCATGCAGAAATGCTGGGCTTCGTGAGCCACTCTTGTGCTGTGCACAGCAGTTGGGACGTGCGAGCAGCCTAGATGCCCTCAACACACGAGCGGGCCAAGGAAATGTGGCCATACAACACTGAGTACACAAAGCAGAAGGACACCCTGTCATTTGCGTGGAGCTGGGTGAGGCAGAAGGACGTGGTGTAGAGCAGTGAAAATCGGGCACAGAAAGACACACAGGGCTGTTCTCTGCCTTCGGGAGGCGCAGGAGGCTGGGCAGGGTAGAAAGAGGGAAGAGGAACTGGACAGCAGGAACCACACGCAGCAGCTGGGCAGCAGGCCAAGGCCCATGTCCACAGCACAGGGGGCTCGAGTTCACAGCCACCTACTTCGCGCTTTCTGAATAACTGGAAGTGAGGAACAACCGACACACAGCAGGCATAGCGAGGTGGAAGCGTCCATGGCCCAGATGTCAGAAGACACCATATCCATGTACGGAAATATTGCCCTGTGCCCCAGAAATGCTTACAATTATTGCAGTTAATCAAAGATGTAAAAACATTTAAGGAGACAGAAATGCTAACTACCTGATTTGACCATTACGCACTGTAGACACGAATCAAATTATCAAGCTCTGCCCTGTAAATCTGTACAGCTAAAATAGTATTTAAAACCAGCAAGCTGAACAACGTAATTTTTGTTTTTCAAAAAATATATAAAGTTAACAATAAAGAACACCAATGACGCATCACATAATAAAAGAAAGACAGACAGGAAGATAGGCAGGACCACCACACTCAGGGTGGGGTGGGGTGGCTTTGTCCCAGGGGACGCTGTCCCACCTGCCCCTCCGGCAGTGTCACTTACCGAGGAGCCTTTAGCGCCTTTAGGACCCGGCGGACCCTGAGGGGAGCAGAGATCAGTGTCAGCCGGGGAGCCCTCAGTCTCTCCCCAGGCCTTTCTAGCCCTCTCCCCCCCTCCCACACAGCGGGGGACCGAAGCCTGGGGCCACAGTGGGCCATGGGGGCCGCAGGCTGGATGCAGAGATGGGTTGGGGTGAGTACAGGCTCAGGGATGGGGGATGCCCTTGGAATACGGGGTCCCCCGGAACACGAGGGAGACCTGTCTGGGGTACGGAGAGGATGCAACCTTTGTCATGTATCCCCACAAGCATGTCATGGGCCCCTCCATCCTCCCCCACCCAAACTGGGACCCCAGGCCACTTCCTTGCCCCTATGACCTGGAACCCACACCAACCCAGACCCATCCTGCTTGGTCTCCTGACCCACCTGTGATTCTCCAGCCACCCCACCCCACCCTCCCTGGGCCCCTCTCAGATACACACCGGCAGGCCAGGGGGTCCAGGGGGCCCAATGGGGCCAGAAGGACCAGTGATACCCTGTAAAGGAGCAGAAAGCAGAGGTGAGTGTCCCGTGGGCAGGGAGGGAGGTGAAGATGCCCCTCCTGTGCCCAGCCAGCCATGCCCCTCAGTCCCTTCCCCAAGGCCTCCAGTGTCGGCAGCAGCCTCTCCTCTCCCGGCCCAGGGTGGCCTGAACATCAGCCACCAGGCTGACATCCCCGGGCCCCACTGCCCTGTGCAGGCCTGCGGGTGCCTGCAGCATTTCAGGAGCCCAGACAAGGGACACTGAATGTAGACCTCCCTTTCCATGTCCTGTTGGGAAACAGGAACGTTCACCCCAACAACCCGTCCTGGCTTGGGCCCCGTGTCTGCCCACTCCTGTGCTGGCCTCCCCAGGGACAAGCTCCCGGCCCCCAGGCTGCCCTGTCCCACCCAGCCTCTAAGTGTGCCCTGTACATCCTAGGGGCTGGGGCCTCCGACCAGCACCCCAACCCCAGCCCTTCCTGCAGAGACCATGCCCGGCCGATGCAGTGACTCAGCTTGCAATGACCACCAGGCACCCTGGGCCCCTCAGACACTTCTCCCTGGGGCTCACCGTAAGAGCCAGGGCACCAAGGCTAGAAACTCAACCTCACTCGGGAACAGGCACAGGGACGGGGACGTTGGCCACTTTACAAATCCCACAATCCTCAAGCCTGGCCTTACAGTAGACATTGTCTACCAGCAACATGGCTGGGATGACAGTGTGGGGCCAGACACGGAGGGGACAGGTGTACGTGGAGGGGAGATTCCTTTTGGCAGTGGGGACCCTGGGTGTCTAATTCTTGTCGCCACTGAGCCACTGGGCACAGAGCCACCTGGGCCCAAGGGTGCTGTCAGGGCCACAGGCTCTGCACTGTGAGTCCTCAGGGCTCCTGTGGCCACCTGCTCTGGCCCAGCCCCTCGTCTTTGGGCCCAGGGTGCTCGGGAAGGGGACACTGCCCCAGTGGGATGGGTACCCTTGTGTGCCTCCCTGTCCTGCCTCCATGCATGTCTCCCCTTCCCAGGTCTGGGCTCCCCTCCACCTCGTCCCAGCAGTGGCTGCAGGATGAGGCTGCCAACCCCGGGCAACCACAGTGAGCTTCAGGGAAGTGCAGTCTGCATGGGTGCTGGCAGATGAGCACAGGGCAGAGAGGGCCCACTGCTCTGCCCGTGACACGGGGAGGCACAGCTGCCAGCTGCTGGGGACTCCTGGGCAACGAGCTGAGTCACAGACTCTGGCCTGCGGTGGGGATGGGGGCACAGATCTGGCCTCTGAGTCCCTCCAGCCCCGAGGGCCACCAGGGCAGAGGGGGCACCTGCCTGCCTGCAGGGTGCACTGGGCCAGCCCGAGTCCCCAGCAGCTCCCATCTGTCCCTGGGTGCTGCAGAGGGAGAAGCTCTCTGGGCAGCGCCAGCTCACGCACCTGTTCTCCTTTCGGGCCAGATGAGCCCTGGGGGCCAGGGAGCCCTCGGTCACCCTTCTCGCCCTGCTCCCCTGGTGGGCCGATGAGTCCAATCAGGCCTGGGTGACCCTGTTGGGAAAGGCGGCATGAGGGCACCAACGCCAGGCAGAAGCTGCCGCGAGCAGATACTGTGGTCATCCTCCGTCCTGTCTCCACTAAGAAAACCCCACCACCCGCTCTGGGTACTCATTTCGTGAGCCCACAGGGGGCGCCGAGAGTCCCCCAGCCTCCGCTGCATTGGGCCCGGGGGGGTGCTGGTGAGGTTCCAGAGCAGAGGACAGCAGGACCTCGAGGCCTCCTCCAGGCACGGTTGTCCAGCTCATCTGACGTTTGTCAAGAAATCATTAGAAGCAGAGGAAAGTCAGCACCAATTGGTAAAATGCAGGGCTTTGCCGCCGGGGAGCTCCGGTGCAGCCCGTGGGCGATGGGTCTGGAGCCAGGACCTGCCTCAGGCCCCCATGGCCCTTGCCGGGACCGTGTGCGCAGCCGGTGCTGTGAGTACTTTGGGCTGGGGACCAACAGCTCGACCACCCTGGGACAAAGGCCCTGCAGGCTCCACTCACCTTTTCGCCTTTGGGCCCAGAATCTCCTTTGAGGCCGGGGAGTCCTGGGGGGCCCTGCAGGAGGCAGAGGGATCAGAGCCAGAGCCCCAGGGGTTCCTGGGGCCACCTGCCCCTCACAAAGCCCCAGGGACATCACTCACCATGGGGCCGGGTGGCCCATCCGGGCCTGGGGATCCGGGGAGACCCTGCTCGCCCTGAAACACAAAGACCCTTAGCGTGGGCCCCCACCCACGTCCCTGCCCCCACTCTGCACCCCTCCCAGGCCTGCCTGGCCCCCTCACCACGGGGCCGGGGATCCCGCGCAGGCCATCAGGCCCAGGCTTCCCGGGGGCCCCCTGTGGGCCGATGGGGCCAGTCTTCCCAGGAGGGCCTTCCAAGCCGGCTTCTCCCTGCAGAGAGAGCACCACTTGCCCAGGCAGGGCCCCACTCAGAAGCCCCAGGCCTCTGAGACGCTCCCACGCTCCTCAGCATGCTGCCCCGCTGACACTCTGTCTGCCAATCCTACCCTGCAGTCACACCGACCACCGCCAGGCCCCTGGCTGACCGCCCAGGCCACAGTCTTCCCTCAGCCACCACCGCGTCAGAGGTCAAAGGCCTCTACCCACCCCTTCCTCATCGGGGGTCCCTGAGTCCTGCACCCTCAGCCTTGCCGGCAGTGACGATGGCCCCCATTTTCCCAGCCCACACTGCCACCCTCTCAAGGATCGGGGCTCCCCCTGTCCACACCCCACCAGCCCACATCCTCCTGAGGCCCACGCACAGCCAGGGCCTGGCTGAAGAGTACTAACCTTGGCTCCTTTCTCTCCCTGTCTGCCTTCGGGGCCCACAGGGCCTGGGGGTCCCTGGAACAAAGGGGAACCCAGGCCATGAGCCAGCCAGGCAGTGGTGGGCACAAGGTCAGGGCCCAGGAGCAGAGGAAGGCAAGAGGCCTCTGGGAAATGGCCAACACGGATGAAGGCCTCGGAGCACCCCAAATCCCAGGGCCCTGGTTGCCGGTCAGGCTCTAGGTCACTGTGGGAGACACACTGGCCCCCGAGTGCCGGAGTGCTGGCCCTTCCTCGGGCTGGGCACCAAGTGTTCCTGTTGGGACAGCTCCAGCACATGACTGCAGGATTCAGGATGCAAAGCCCACCCCGACCTCATTCAGTCTGGCCCAAGAAAAGGAGACCCTTTGCTCTGTGGGTGTGCTTCTCTAGTGATGGACCTACTGACAGTGTGAGACCTCAGGCCCAGGACTGGGACAAGGCAGGAAGCCAGGAGCGCCCAGCCCAACCCGGCGTCTCCTCCTTCAGATGTGGGAGGCACCCAGGGCCAGCAGAGGGCAGGGGGCCTTGTGCAGGGGGCATTCACGGGCCCACTCACCCGCTTTCCCGGGGGCCCAGATGGACCAGGCTCACCAGTGGGGCCCGGGGATCCCTGTTGTGGAGAGAGAACAGAGTGAGCGATCGGGTCTGCAGGACACAGCTCATCAGGGCCAGGGGGGGCCAGCCCAGTCTCTGCTCGCACGGCCTCTCTCTGAGTGCCCCAGCCGGTCCCGCATGAGGGCCTGAAGCTGCCATGCTGTGCTCCGGTGGTGGCCGGGCCGAGAGCCTGGATTGCCTCCCAGAGGCAGCTGCGTTTTGGAGAACTTGCCTTTCGCATGGCCCTTGCTGCCCCACTCAGTGACTGGCTCCACACCCCACCCCTGGGTCCCTCGAGGGAGCCGCTGTTAGTGTCAACAGCTGACCAGGTGGGAACTGGTGCCATGAAGAGGGTGCAGGCCGGCGGGGCCGCCTGGGACCCTGGCCCAGAGCTGGCGTCCGAGCCCTCCATCGGCATCCAGGTGCATTCTGGGTTGGTGGCAGGGGTCGTGTGCCCTGGAATCCCTGCTTTGGGCTGAACGCTCCCCAGCTCGCAGGCCGGAATCTGACGGAACCGAGATGGGATGGAGGGGCGGGGCTCTAAGGGGGAATCAGGATGCAGAAGCTCTGCCTCAGGAGTGGACAAAGGCTGCTACCGAGGGGGCGAGTGCAATGCGGGGGGACCCAGCCCACCTTCCTCCCTCGACACTCGCCTTCTGCCAGGTCACAGACCCTCAGTCTTGGGCTTCCCAGCCTCCACGGCCATGAGCCATGAAAACTTCTGCTGTCTGTAACTTATCCCGCCTGTGGCCTTTTGTTACAGCCCCAGAAAAAAGACCAGGACAGTCAGCAACCTCCCAGCAGCAACGTAGGCACAGGACAGGGAGACCCCGAAATCAGGGGTTGCTTCCAAGCAGAGCACTGCCCTGGGGCCCCGTGGGGTGGGTCGATGTCGGTGTCGAGCGGAAGATGCACGGTGTGCCATGCCCTCGGTCCCAGGCAGGGGCTGAGGCCCACCGGGCAGACACATGGGTGAGTCCTGACACTCAAGAGCTTTTGGGGGTCAGGGACAAACTCCCAGAGCGGCATGCAAAGTCACTGCTAGCACTGGGCAGGCCTTCTTTCTTCTTTCTGCCCACAGCTTTCATCAGATCTCGGGGCACCCACCAGGCCCTGTCCCTGGCAGGAGTCACCACGATAAGAGAACTGGGTTTGGGTTTCTCCAACGTGAACCAAGTCAGCCGCAAAACCCCAAGAGGCACAGGCGCTCCCCGGGGAGGGCATCACACGGGGACTCACCGTCTGTCCAGGTTCACCATCATCTCCTTTGTCACCAGGGGGACCGTCCTGACCCTGGGGGAAGCAGAGCCAGTTCCTTCCTGCTCCCAGACAGGGCTCCGAGCTCACCCCAGCCCAGCACACCCTCAGCCCTTCTGGGAGAGGAATGTGGCTAGTGCAGGCACTGGGCCCCACGTGGGGCACGCGATGGGGCCCACTGTGCCCAGAAGAGAATGAAACAGGAAGAAATCAGCAGGGAAAGAGGGAAATGGGGCTGACAACAGAGAGCAGGAACCACGGGGACCAGAGGGCGGCAGGGACGGGGGACAGGTGGCCCTCCCGAGCACCTACCGCGGGGCCAGGCTCTCCGGGGGGGCCAGGATCGCCAGGAAAACCCACAGGGCCCTGGAGAGGAGAGAGGGACAGGCCAGCCGAGGCCCTGAGCAGTGTGGCCGCAGCCTGCGCGGCCCAGCCCTGCCTGGGACAACACCCCCCGCCACCTGGTGGGTAAGGACAGTGCCGACACCAGCCCGCTTCCCCAGGAGCCCCTTTCCCGCCTGTGCCTCCATCCCAGGAGCCCCAGAGGTGGCCATGACCTGCGCCCAGGCTCCCAGATGGGGGCCCTAAGAAGCCCCGGTGCAGAGTCCGGGCAGGCCGCACAGGCTCGGCTAGCCGGCCCCTGCCCTGGAGTCTCGCCGCTCCTCCCGCCTCCTCTTCCTCGCTGCCCCTAGCTTGGACTGGGGTGGCTGCCTAAACCCCGAGACCCTAGGAAAGCACCCCCGGAGCACACCCAGTAGGCTGCACTGCCGCCGGAGCGGGTGAGTGGGGAGCAGGCGAGAGCTACTCACAGGGCTGCCCTTGGGGCCGTCGTCTCCGGGCGGGCCTTTGGGGCCAGGGGGCCCAGCAGCTCCTGAGGGCCCGGCCTCGCCCTTCTCTCCTCTTTCTCCTTTAGGGCCCTGGAGGAGGAGAGGCAAGGTCAGGTCCAAAGCCCCCCCCACCCCGGCACTTGCCCGGAGCAGTCCAGCCCGGCCTAACGGGGCCTCCTGGGGCCCCTGTGCTGTGGACAGTCCCGCCCAGCACCGGCTGAGCCTGGGGGACCGTGCGGGCCAGGGAAGCCGCTGCCCTCCCTTTCTGCCCAGAGCTGCGGGCTTTCTGGGTCCGTGTGGTGAGGCTGTGCTGCACGCTGGGTGCGAGTCACCCTCACACACGGTAGCTGCGAAGGGGCCTGGGCGTGCAGGCATGCTGAGGCCCTGCCACACACCCTCTTTGACCACGCTTCTGTGGCTTCAGCTGGCCTCGTGGGGTAACAACGTCCATTTCACAGAAGGGGTACTGAGGGGCGGGGGAGCTTCAATCCGGCCACATCCGTGCCCTCCCGGGACCCGGCCCCCCGGAGCCCCACACTCACCGGAGGGCCTCCTTCTCCCGGAAGGCCAGGCTCGCCGGCTTCGCCAGGCTCCCCCTGGGGAGACAAGCTGGGGTCACCAGGGGTCATGGCAGGGACAGTGACAGCTGCTCCCGCTGCCAGCGTTGCCCAAATCTCTGCAGGGCAGGGCCATGAGGAAGGGGCCAGGCGGGGCGAGGGCTGCAAGGGGCACCGAGGGAAGGCTGGTGCAGGTGGGGCTCGTGACAGGTTTGGCAAAGGGGCACGGATGACAGACAGGGGCCACGGGTGTCCTTGGGGAGCACAGGCCCAGGATGGGAGGGGCAGTGAACGAAGGGCAGCAGGCGATCGGGATGGGGTGGGGGGTCCTCGGCTCCGTCAGCGCCACAGCTCCGCACTCGCAGGGAGCCCAAGGCCTGGCCGCATCCTCCTTCCCTCCAGGTGTGCGCTCTGGGCACTGGTGTGGACTCAGGCCTCCACGCACACCCCCCCATACACAGGTGAGCACATACGGATACAGGTGCACACAGGCACAGGCATACAGATGCGCACAAGCGTGCACGTGGGCGCACAAGTTTGTCCACAGATACACACAAGTGTGCACACGCGTTCTCTGCAGCCACATGCTGGCACTGTCACAGTGGAGAACTCACCTTCTCGCCCACTGCGCCCGGATTCCCGATTCCACCCAGAGGACCTTGAGGCCCATCAGCACCTGGAGCTCCGGAAGGACCTCGGGGGCCAGGGGGACCAGGCGGGCCCTAGGAGGAGAGACCATGAGCCCAGGGGAAATGCAAATTCCCCCAGAACAGAAGCGGCAGCCGCGGCCAGGTCTTTGGCCTGGCGATACCTACCATCTGGCCCACGTCTCCTGTCTCGCCCTTTTCGCCCGCAGGTCCCGGCAGGCCCTGCGGACAGGAGAGAGCGGTTAGGTGCTGCCCTGGGAGACTCACACCCCATCACCTCCTCCTCTGAGATGCCAAGGAGGCCCCAAAGCCCCCACATGCGCTCCCACAAGCCACAAGTCTATCCTAGCGCAGGGACACGCCACGATTCTAGGCTCAGAACTAGCTGGAGGAAATAATTAGAGAAGGATGCAAAGATTTATGGGCAATGGTGTTTATGCCAGTGTCCCATAAAACAATAGCCCTAATGAGCCAGCAGCCGGGAGACGTCTGGATAAGTTATATCCCCACCATACGCCGAAATGCTATGCAGTAACTAAAAATCGTGTCTTCCAAAATAAATAAAGTCACGGGTCCAGGGAGTACTTAATGACCTTAAACGTGCCTTGTAATATGAAAGGAAAGTCTGGGTACAGTGTCTGTCCAGCATACGATGGGATGTGGATTTTGCAAACACCAAATACAATCCCCTACGCGCCTACCCTAACACATGCATTTAACAGGGAGGCAACAAGCGTGCAGTGCGGACAGCTGTCATTTTGAGGTGGACTTTGGTTTCCTTTCCTCACAACAGATTGGCATCTCTCAAGTTTCTGGGAGGCACGTGGAGACTCATGGGTGTGTCCAGACCCCCACTTCCTGCCACCCAGCCTGTTTCCCCATTCTTAAAAGAGAGGTGCAGCTGGCCCAGCAAAACACGGGTGCCTCCGCAGCAGCCCCTTACCCTGTGAACACCCTGCAGTTACCTGCAACCCCACTGGCCCCGGGGGCCCAGGGAAACCTCTCGAACCTTCGTCTCCTTTCTGCCCGAAGAGGCCTTGCTGGCCACGGGGGCCCGGCTCCCCATCTGCGCCCTGCAGGGACAGAATTGAGCGCAGGTGAGGCCGAGCAGCAGCTCAAGGGGCTGGGTCCGGCTGGGGTCACCAGGTGAGATACTCACAGAGGGGCCTGGCTGTCCGATGGGGCCTTGAGGACCAGTGGGCCCAGGGGGACCCTGTGGGAACAAACAGAGATGCAGGTTGCTTCCCAGACTTGGAGATGCAGTGGAGTCCCCGAGTGGTGACATCCGAGGTCAGTCCCAAGTGTGTAGCTCATGCACATACATGCATGGGGCTTTACTAGAGAGACATTGAGTTAGCCATGGCAAGGAGGCCACTCACTGCCACACTGACCACAGAGCACGCGGCCCCCGTGCCTCTGCAGCCGCCCACGCTCCCCTGTGCAGCTCCTACCTGCTCGCCTTTGTCTCCCTTGCTTCCTTTCTGTCCCGGCTCCCCCATCTCTCCCTAGGGGCAGAGGAGAAGGATGCTATTAGCCACTCAGTTACTGCAAGCACTTCGCATTGTTCCCATCTATTTGTTTGACTTCCATTCGCATACAGGGGCTAGACACCCCGAGCTGCAGGTCTGGCGCTACACAGGATGTTCTCTGGCACAAAGATGTGGGAAGCTAGGCTGAAACTGCCTCCAGTGATTTGTCAATGGGACTCAGCATCGCAGCATAACAAGGGGCCGCTCAGCCACTGCACTCCCCAAACAGGTGTTAAAACCTTCTCCGGTTTTGTTGGGAAAGGGCTGTCTCCCAACCTTCAGATGTAAGGCATTCTCTCTGCAAAGGTGACAAGGTCAGAGAGGATACCAGAGAGTTGTCATCAGTGAAGGCTAAGAAGAGAGCCAAGTCTCCTTGTCTTCATTAAATGGAGTCTAAAATACGAGCTTGGCAGTAAGAGCATCAGATTATAAAGTACACTCGTAATGAAACAGGGCCTTGCTAATTCGAGGGAAGACATTTAAAAAGAGATATTGAGTAAAACCTCATTAAATCCAGCTCCACGGATGCAGAATTTGAAATGATTCAAAAAGGAGCAGAGAGCATTGTTCTTTTTCCCCGACTGCTCGAGCACCAGTCCTAGGCACCACCAAGACCACACGAGACCAGAGCAGCTCCTGAGCTCCCTCCAGCAGGCTCGTTGCTGTTTATTTCTGCGCTGCTTCTCGCCAGGCGCGGGTGGCAGGGTCCCCTGTCACCCAAGTCCCCGGACCCGTGTGCGTCCTGTTGTTTACGACGCCCTGCTTCTCACTCACCTGCCTCCTGGCCCCAGCCTCCTTACCTTGTCTCCATCTTCACCGGGGGGGCCCACAGGGCCAGCTGGACCGGGGAGCCCCACAGGACCCTGGAGCCCATCTCGGCCGGCTGGGCCTTGGGGGCCTTTCTCGCCCTAGAGAACACAGAAGACCCCTGGTCAGCTGAGGCTTCACCAAGGGAACATCCCACTCCAGCTCACCACTCGGGACAGGGCTGTGGGAGGGAGGCTGGAGTCGCGGCGGTTTCGGCGGGGGACACAGCGAGCTGACCGCCCTGCCCTGCACCCGGAGTGGCCGGTGCACCACACGCATGAGCAAGGGGAAACTGAGGCACAGTCAGGCTGCCAATTGGGCCTCCATACTCCAGCCTGCGTGTGGGATCATCCAGGCCAGTGACTGCAAACCCAGCGGAACGCCCAGGGAGGCCTGAGCTCCAGCTGCAACTTCATAACACTTTCACTGCTTTGCAAGCACCCTGCCTGTACAACACCCACATACAGACATGCAAACACACGTACGCACAGAAGCACAGGCGAGCACAGGTGCATGTGTGTGAATACACACACGTGTGCACTTCAGCACACACATACCTGCACACGTAAGACACGTGTGTAAGCACAAGCACCACACCCACATCCATGAGCAGGCACAGGATATGTGCAGGCGCTTACACAGATAATGCACACCCAAGCACACACACGGAACACATGCACAGACATGCACACTCATATGCACACATGAGACCTTTATCTCCACTGTCTCCACAACTATTCCTGGGGCTCTCCCGTCATCCACCAGGTCCTCGCTGAACTCGCTTTTACCACCCACACCCTCACCCTCAAGTGAGGCGCCCCAGCCAGCCAGCCCTTCCCCTGACACACAGAGGAAGTGTGCTCCACAGCGGGGAGGGCAGGGAAGGAGACCCGCACTCAGCATGTGCTCCAGATGAGGCCAGTGCTGGGTCATGCACCACCACGCTCTATGGAAGCCAGAACCCGCCAGGGCCCCATGCAGGGCTGCCAGTCCTACATGATGCTCAGGTTGGAGTTCTGGGCGAGCCCTGGCCCCTCCTGACCTTCCTGCCTCTCTGCAGCTGCTCTGGATATTGCAGCTCTTGCACGGTTCCTGCTTAAATATTTACTCGCTGGAAATGAGGAACCAAACCATGCTTGCTGTTTCCATGTGTACTGAGCGCCCGAGGGCTCTGGTTTCCCAGGCACAGAACCCAACCAAACGCATGCCTGGCTGCCTTGCTGAAAGCAGTCAGATGCCATCGAAGTTGCCCAGAGCGAGGGAAGGGATTCTCAGTGGCATGGATGTCCCCAATGCGGGGACCTGCAGCTCAGGGAAGCAGCTGGGGTGTCTCTTCACCAGTGAGCCATCGAGTCCCCAACACACAGGAAGTGACCCTGTACTGACACCACGCAGCCAGCACAGCCTGACCCAGAGCCGCCTCGGTGCCGCTGGCCTAGCCCCAGACACAGGCTCCTGACACCTGAGCAGAGAAAGGACCTGAAGTGGTTTGTGCCACTCTGCGAAGGCGTGTGGTGGGTCAACATGGGGCCACCTTCCAGCATCACCTTGCCAGGGGGACCAGGGCAGGGAGCTGCGGGGAAGGCGTCACATAGGCGCTGGCCCGTCCACTCACTGCGGGCAGGGCAGGGGAGCTGGGACCACTGCAGGCGTGGCAGGCTGGGCCCACCTGGTCAGTCAGAGCCCCGGAAATGCCCACGGGACGCTGAGGGGACCCCAGAAGCTCTGCCACGCCGTACTCACCGGGGCCCCTTTCTCTCCAGCCGGCCCTGGCGGCCCCTGTGGCCCGGGTCTCCCTGGAATGCCGATGGGCCCAGCAGCGCCAGCAGGGCCTCTCTCCCCCGGAGATCCCTGGGAGGGGCACGAGAGTGTTCAGATTCCAAGGTTCCCCAACTGCGCGTCTAAGAGCTCCTAAAAGCACCAGTTGATCACACTGCCCACCCGCTCTCTGGAGCCCTCAGTGGCTCCCTGTGGCCACGTGGCCTAGCACTCAGGCTCCTGTCATCTGGCCTCTTGTTAGTCCTGCTCCTCCCATGATCCCATCTCACCCAGGCCCCAGTACCCTGGCGTCTGGAACAGGGCCTCCTCACGTGCCCGTCTTCAATGGGCTCCCCAGGGGCCGGCACCCCTCTCTCCTTAGGGTCTGCCTGCCCACAGCTCACTCCCGCTACAGGTGTGCACCCCGCAGACTTTCCGAGGGAGGCCTCAGCCCTGGATGCAGGCACCGCTGCTGGGGACACCTGGCCTAGCTATGGGGTCACATCAGGCTTCCCTGCCGTCTCTCAAGGACTCAAAGCTCACCAAGGGGAAGAGGGATATGATTGGGGGGGGGCGTGTCCCCAGAAGCCACCAGGCTGTGCTATCCACCCTCCATGCCACCCACCACTCCGCTCCCCCCAGGACCCTCCTCGGCCCTGCTCCACCCTGTCTCCTGCAGGGGGACCCCTGGCTTGTCGCAGAGCAGGTTTTAGAAGAGGACGGGGCAAAAGGCTTTGACTCACCGCGGGGCCCGGGGGGCCGGGGGGGCCTTCGTTGCCTTTCAGCCCAAGGGCTCCCTGCAAAGTAGTGAGATGTGACCGAGACACTGTGGCCAGAACCCCGGGCTGTGCGCTGAGCCCCGCCACCCTGCACCTGGCTCCCCACTCACCACCGGGCCAGGGAGCCCTCGGTCCCCAGGGAAGCCACGTAAGCCTGGAGGGCCGTCCTTCCCAGGGAGGCCGGCTGGGCCTGGGTCACCCTAGAATGCAGCAGAGACACGCTGTTCCCCACCATCCACCACAGACCTCCCCTGGCTTCTGGACGCTGGACAGGGCTTCCCTGGCCCCTCGGCCTTCAAAGGAACTCGAGGCTTTTGTTTTGTTTTTGGTGCTGGGGATGGAACACAGGGCCTGGCGCACACCACGCCCCTTGGGCTGGTTCTGTCCAGATCTGGAGGACGGGCTGGGCCCCTCGAATTCTACAGGGCCACCATCAGCTGAGCAGGAGCTGGGGCTAGCGCTACCTTTCCCATATATCGGGGGCTTGTCACAGAGGCAAAGCTGTGCGTAGCTAGAGGGACCTGCAGCTGACACATTGATAAAAGCACTTCTCTAAGTGGGCTCGGCACTCAAAGCCCTTGCTTCTTCAAACCTCGAGCCACACTTCTGGCAAAGAGGCACCTCTGGGGCCGTGCGCTTTCTGAAGTGCCTTAAAGCCAGCATATGCTCCAGGACTTTCCCTGGGGCCCATGAAGAGGACGGGGTCTTACATGCCCTGGGCCCCCTTTCCACACTCAGTGAGCTCACTGTGTCCAGGATACGTGGGTTACTATGCACAGCGTTCACATCCAGCTATTCCCGAGTGTGGGGTTTTCCTATCTCTTTCTCGGCTTCACCACTTTCTAAGTTGCTCCTGGGCACGGCCAGTGTGTGAAAGGTGAGTTTGCAAGCCAAACCAGGCGAGGCTGCTGATCTGCCCCCAACACAAAGGCAGTTGAGACGCCCACCCTCAACACCGCTCCCTGCAGAGGCTACAACACCAGGGCTGTGAGAACCGCACTAGGAGAGAGGGAGAGACGTCAGTTTTCACTGCTAGAATTTACTTTCCGCCTCTTAGGGTAGGGGATTTTTAAAGGATTGCTGTCTACCAGATCTGTCCTGGATACATGACAGCTTTTTATCCATCTCTGGAGCAGACGGGTGGCTGGGGAGGGGGCTCCCCACAAAGACCGCATGGCTTTAATCCCCACCCCTCTATGCACCATCCCCATGCAGGTCAGCTCATGCCCTGGCTCCAACCGAGCAAAGATGGAGCTGAATTCGTGCCGAGATTAGCCTGAGAAGTTGAGGACAAGGCGGAGGTCCTGAATGATTCCTCGGCGAAGGGCAGCCTGACACAGAAGCTGCAAGAGACTCACCTTCGTTCCCTCCTTGCCAGCAAGGCCTGGGAGCCCCTGTTCACCAGGAGGGCCGGGGGGCCCAGGGTGGCCACGCTCGCCCATTGGACCCGTTTCTCCCGTGGGACCCTAGGGAGAAAACCAGCATCCACCACCAGTCCGTCTGCAGTGACTTGCAAGGGACGGGCCATGTCCTGAGTCTAAGAACAGCTGGGACCCCCAGGCATGGCGTCCCCATGGGCCACCGCGCCTCCATGTTCCACTACAAGTCTGTTCCTTCTGGCCAAAATCCAGGTGGGAGAAAGCTGGGTGGGCGCCATCAGTGCGCACTGCTGGCCCTGGGCCACATCGGCCGTGTGCAGACAGCCACTCAGGCCAGGAGCCTGCTGTCCCTCAGTTCTGTGGCAGCGAGCTGACCACTGCCACTTGGTTGTGCTGACCCCCAGGACTGGCATGGGTGGCCCAGGGTGCCGGCAAGAGCCAGTGGACTTGGCTACCTTGGATGCCACAGAAAAGACAAGCTGCCACCGTAGGCCCCACCCCCAGAAGGCCTGCACCCGGCCCCCACTCAGCCCCTCTGTGCAGCCATGAAGCACCCAGCCTCCCCTCAGCATGGTGCCCGGCAAAGCTGCTTCTCCTGTGCGTTACCCTTCTGGCCGGCAGCACCTCCTCCCTCAGAGTCCCGATTCTCCCTCCCGAAAGGTAGGCAACACCTGAAGCCCAGAACCCCAGGGTGCTGAGTCTCACCTGAGGGCCAACCACACCTGGGGGACCGGGCGGGCCAGTCTTGCCTTGGAAGCCCTGTGGAGAGAGACTGAGGCTGTGGAAGCCTCCTCACCAACCCCGCCATCCTCCTTGGAAGCCCCAGTCCCCTTCCCGCCCCACCCCAAAGGGTGCTGCTGCAGATTTCTCCAGAGAAGCCCTGTTCCCTCCTTCCCTTCCTGGATCAACCGCATGGAAGTCACGAAGCCAGATGGGTTCGTTCCATGCCACGCTCTGTACACAGGAGCCGGCTCTGGTCACGAAGTGTTCGTTTCCCTGGAGGACGTGGGAGCCACCTCCGGGCTGTTCTCATTAGTGACTTTGTGGGGACTCTCCTGCTTGTGTCACGGACGCCTCTCATGCATGACAGGAGAGCTGCCAACCTGCTCCTCTGCATGCATTTAGGACAGCAGGAGCCAGGCCCTGGCTCTCACAGCCGGCAGCTCACAGGTATTATTTTTAACCGGGTGCAAGGAGAACATCTCATCTGTGTCAGGTGCAGACTGGCGGGCAGGATCTCTGTGGGGCCCAGGAGGGCTCCGTTCTGTAAGCCCAGCTCGGCGGCATGCAGCAGGCCACACTGGGCATGTGGAACGCAACGCTCTGCAAACCCTGTGCTTTCCCACAATGGAGAGGCAGGAGCTGGTGAAGCTCTGCTAAAGTCAGTGCTGACAGTGGAGGCAGGAGAGGCCTGGCCATCTGGTCCTCAGTGACTCAGGGACCGTCCGGGGCTGATGAGACCAAATCTGCCTTCAGCCCTTTGCTGGGAAATGGGCTGCAGGCTCGCACTCAGGAAGAGCAATGAAAGCCTGTGTTTTCATTTCAGTAAAGGTTAAGCCGACACCCAGGGAAAAGCATCCTTGGGACAGGTCTGGACTCCACACCCCAGCTGGGTCCCACCCGTGTCCTAGGAGGTGGCCACCAGAAATGGCGCCACCCCTGGCACAGCCTCATTATTTCCGCAGCCTCTTTCCAGACGAAAAGCACGCAGTATGCAAAAGCTCCTATCTTGTCTCCTTGGGAAGGTACAAGAGAAAAATGTGCGAGGCCTGCAAGAAATGTTTTAATTTTTCTCTATAAACAAAAGAGCTCTGTAATCTCCATTTATCAGGCAGCACGGGCTGTGCACAGCCCCGGCAAAGGCATAATTAAAAGGGGTTTCAGCACCAGCCACTGAAGAGAGACAGAAAGGATTTTTCTAAAGCAGGCAGCAAGATCATATCATCACTACAGCATTCAAAGACCCATCTCATGCAGGGCCAGCCTGGGCTGGGGAAGGCCTCCCCACACCTTCTGGCACACGCAAGCAGGCTGCAGAGACAAAGGACCCTTCTGCCAGTCCCTGCGTGGCCTCTGCTCTGCCCAGTGGGAAACGCTTGCAAAACTCTGTGCAAATCACCCTTTACGCCGGACAAAGCAGGTACACACAGAGAACTATCACAGCTAGGTCACCTGGCTCTGCAGGGCCTCGGCTGTCCCAAGCCCGGGGTCCCCAAGGCACATGAGGGACTGAAATCAATTGGTGCCCAGAGGGAGACTTCTGTGAACCGGGACAAACCCCAAATGGGGGTTTGGTTGGGGGCAGGAAATGTTCACATTCCTAATAAATGCTGTCATTGCCAACGGAGGTGGTGGGACCCATTGTCACGGTAGCCTGAAATGCCTTTTCTAAAGGTAAGGGCTCGGCTGAAGGCCACCTCTGCTTGCAGAGATGACAATCATACGCACAGCCCACAGCCGTTGCTCAGAGAAAGGCCACATTTCCATGCAACCAGGCACCTCCCTTTGTTACTAGAGGATATATCAGAAGCAGCCTCCTAATCCCGACCGCCAGCCCCACACCTGGGACCACCCAGGTGAACAGGACTGGGGTTGGTAAAAGCCCTGCCACCCTTCTGAAATTTCACAGCCTAAACTAATCGATGGCACAGCTGCAAATGCAGAATGCGCACGGGTACTTTCCCAACAGAGGCCTACGGAGCTCCAGCCGGGCCGCACACCAAGGTTTCGGCAGCTGGTGACGCTCGGTTTGGGTCCTTGGCCTTTGACTGAAGTTGCTGAGACCAACAGCCAGTCAGTTCTGCCTACTGCCCACAGATGTCCAGGGCGCTGCGGCCGGTCTGGCCCAGCCAGCAGTGACCCTTAGACCGTGCTGGGCAGTCACAGCGCTCTCACGTGCAGAGTAGGGAGAGGCCAGGGTACTCACAGTCTCGCCTCTCTGTCCAGGGTGTCCGGGGAGCCCGTCTTTCCCTGGGGGACCCTGAGGAAAGGACCAAAGGAAAGAGGCTTTATTCAGGAAAGGCCCCTGCTGTAACGGGACCTGACGCCACACTCGCCAACAGAAAGCATCACCCTGGGCCTTCCTCTGCAAAAGGCAGCTGCCAAACAAGGCCACAGCGACAGTGATGATGGGGTACAGACCCTGAAAAAGCTGACCTGGAGCTGTCACTGACACCTGCCTGCATCCTGCAGACTCCTGCAGCCGCCCCACGGGATGCACGTATCACCGCTTCCCCCAGGAGGAAACAGAGGCAGGGAGACGCCAACCAGCACCCCGAGGTCCGGCAGGCCGCAGCCCCGCCATCCTGCAACCCGAGTCTGTCCGACCTCCGCCTCTTCACCCACAAAGTAACCCTCGTGGGTGGATTTCTCTCTGTTTTAGGGGCCACTTTGAAGAACTGGGCTGTACCTGCTATGCGACGAGCTGGGTCCCCTAGAAAGCTATGCTGACGTCCAACCCCCCGAACCTAGAATGGGGCCTCGCTTGGCAACAGGGACTTTGCCAGGGTGAGCAGTTAAAGCCTGCCGGGTGCAGCCAAGCCAGTGACCAAGGTCCTGCTACAGAGACAGCTGATGACACAGGGAGACACAGAGAGCAGGTGGAGGCCGGGACCAGGCAGGTGGGCCCCGGGTCTTGGGCTCCCCAGAACCTCCAGAGGGAACCAGACTGCTGACCCGGGCCCCCAGGACTATGACAAGATGGTTTAAGCTGCCCTGTCTGTGACCATTTGTTATAGCAGCCCCAGGACCCTGACTCAGGCCCAACCAGAACACGGTGATGGAGTAAAGAAAAGGGGGACCCGTAAGGTGACTCACAACACTGGGCAGGTGGACACGGCCACAGGCTCCACCCTGCTGCGGACCCAGGGTCTCACTGAGCCTCCCCCCCACCGGGAGTCCTTAGGGAAAGGCCAGGTGTCCAGGGGACAGGCCAGCCGCCACAGGGGAAGGCACTACTTACCGGGGGACCCTTTGGTCCAGGGAAGCCGGTAGGTCCTTGGGGTCCGTTGGGTCCCTGGGGACAGAGCATGGCTGGTGTGGGACAGAGGGCCTCTCCCCAGTAGCCCAGTGCCCACTACCTTCCCCCAATTCCAGCCCCTGCCCCTCCCGAGAAAAGGGGCCCCCACCAGGGTGTTGAGGGGCCAGTCACAGAGCGATGGCCTAGGGTCCTCAGGGCAGGACAGGCTTGAGCACCCACTTTCCTGTGTCTCAGCAGCCTCTAGCACCCCGAGGCCTGGCCTGGTGAGTAGGGCTGGCATCTCCAACCCAGTGAAGGCTGCACTTCCCAGAGGGTCCCACCGTGGGGTCTCAGGGATCCCCACTCCGGGGCAGGGTCACAGTGGGTCCCGAGGAGGTGTCCCAGGGCCCTGGGCAAGACACTTACCCGCTCACCGGGAGGGCCAGCAGGACCATCACCTCCAGAGTTGCCCTGGGGAGGGACAGAGAGAGAAGAGCTTGCTGTGAATCTTACGTGGACAGAAAGACTGCGGCCTGTGAATCACGGAACTATCCCTGTGTGGGCCTCCTCAAGCTCCTCTGTCCTCAGCCAAGGACACGTCCCATCGGGGTGGCCAGTGGCCCCAGGTAGCCCGTCCTCTTGCCCTGCACCCGTAGCTGACCTGAGCTGACATCCAAGGGCCCTGACATTTCCAGAACATTCCCTTGCAGACAAAGGCTGCACCAAGTCGCCCAGGGCTCTGCTCCCCCGCTCCCCAGGTGTGGGGTGCAGCTGAGTGGGAGGCATGCGGGAGGCACCAGAGCTCAGTGGGGAGATTTTCCTACAGTCCACTCTGCCCCCCAGCCAGCCAGGGATCCACTCACGGGCCCCCCTGCAGTTCCGATGGGACAGGCTGGGGACAGCGGGGCCCCGGGCGTGACTGCAGACACGCAGGCTGGGCGGGAGCCACGGAGATCTCCCCGGAAGGACCTCTCTACTGATTTCCCACTCTGCCTGCCGGAACAGGGTGCTCGGCACTGAGCCAGGCCTCCCCGGACTGGGGTCCCCTGGTGTGGGGGACCCCCTGCCGCTCTCTGCCTGGGGGCTGTGTCCCCTGAGGGTCACCCTCTGCCACCTCTCCTGCTCCTCACTCTCGCCAGAGGCTGCTGGGGGGCAGGATCCCCCTTCAGTGCCTCCGAGGAAGAAAACCTTCCTCTGCTTTCAAATGAAAAGGCCACAGGGCGTCCTGGGTGCTCCCGCTCTCAGCAGTGACACCCGGGCTCACCTGGTCACCGCCAAAAGACCAAGAACATACCTTGGGGCCGGGCTTCCCCGTGATGCCCCGAGGGCCTCTTTCACCCCGGGGGCCCTGCACGGACAGAGAGAAGGAAGGTCAGCTCAGACACCGGGCTCCCAAGGCTGCCCACCCTCCCCGCCTTGCCCCCCGGGACGCAGGAGGTTACCGTCGGGCCTCGCTGTCCCCGTGGTCCGGGCTTTCCAGGCGTCCCCTAGAATCAGAGAAGAGGGTCATCGGCCCTGCACAGGAGCCCGCCCTCCCTGGGGCAGAGCCAGGAAGAGTGCGGCCTTCCCAGGCCTCCCGGCTCCTCTGGGTTCACATGGGAGAAAGTCAGGGCCCCGAAGCACACCGAACAGGCCGGTGCCTCACTCGGCCCCGCGGAAGCCGTTTCCTCCGGGCAGGATGGATGCTCCCTACCTACCTGGTCTCCACCCTCAGAGTTTCTCCACTTCCCTCCCTCCCTGCCCTTCCCCCCCTCTCAGCAGGGGGAGAAACCATTATTGCAAGAAAAGAGAAGAAAGTCAACTCTTTTCATACATAATTTACTTCTGCTACTGTTAAGGATATTAGCCATTAAATTTTCAGTAGGCTCTGCGGACGGGCAAACCTGCAATTTAACACACACATCATAGATCTGAGAGTCATGTGCTCCTCTCCTAGAATTCAGCTCCCGTATCCGAGCCTGCTTTGCATCTTCCAAATCACAGAAAGCCATGCACTGGGTGTGTTTTTCCCGAAGCACACACGGGACGGCTGGAAAATGCGGTTGCCCTCCAGCACATGGAAGTAACGGACTGAACACAGCACGGCATCCAGGCTCCTGCCTCCTTTCATCCTGGTCTCCAACGTTGGAGCCTAAGCCAGCTCCACGTGGCTGAAGGCCACGGGAAAAGCGTCTTCTCCCTATCATTCATTCATTCGCTGCCAGCATCAGAACCGCTCTCCGCTCTCCCATTTTGAAATGAATTTAATAAAACCATGTATAATTACGTCACTTTTTAAACAACACATTCTGGTTGCAGCTCTTTCATTCTGTGCCGATACCTTTTGGCTTCAAATGGAAATTTGCACAGGAAGATAGGGAAACATCCACAGCCTTCACGTGGTAAACACTGTGCCAGCGCAGGACTCCCGTGTGGCTGCCAAGTGTGCTCACGCCGGCTTCCACCGAGGTCAAGGCCCTCCACTTGCCACTCCCTCCACCGAGACCCGACCTGCACCTTCATCTCACAGCTCAGATGGCTCCCGGGTGCAGCTGAGGCCCGGGCACCCCGGCCTTGCAGGGGGCAGAATAGAGGCACGGCAATTAATCCCGTTGGGTCCCAGGCGGCATCTTGCTTATGGGCTTCCCAAGGACACTAATTCAAGCCCGAGTTTCCATCCTGGTGACTGAAGCTGCTCCGCAGGAAGTGCCCAGGTCCCTTCAGAGATGACCCATGTGTGCCTGGCCCCTGGCCTGTCTAGGAAAGAACGGACTGGGATTTCCCCCTCTCCGGGGAGGGTGTCCTGGCCCGGAGCCTCAGTCCTGGAGTGCTCCTAGCATGTCACTTTTCTGGTCTCCAGCCCGGTACCTGAAGAGCCAAATGGCCGTTGTCCCAAAGGGATGGCTCTCTTGTCCATCTTCACAGTGCTCTTGTCCCTGCCCCACCTCCCCCGTGCAGGTCGCCCTGTTAAACCCCACAGCACCTCTCCCCAAACCACACCCCTCGGCAGTTTTCCCAGCTCCTCCACCTCGTTTCTCCCCTCAACTCCATCTGTCCCTCTGTGAGTCTCAGCAGGAAGCCACCACCTCCAGGAAGCCACCAGCTTTCCGGCTGTGACTCTGATCCACCTAGTCTAGCATCCCACGCCCATGGTTTGAGAGTGCCAGTCTCTGACAGAGGCAAATGTCTCCCTCCATCACCCGGGTCCCCAGAGCCCAGTAAGGCACAGGCACTTACACCGCTGGGGAAAAATGAGTGATTTCAAGGGAAGGAACAGCATCCGGACAAAATGAAACCCAAAGCCCCGGGCAGAGGAGGACACTCAGTCACGAGACTTGGGGACAGGGTCGCTGAGGGGAGGCCTCAGTCGCCAACAAATGAAGATGGGTGCATGTGTGAGGCCCCAGGCTCTCAGGCCTTCAGGCACCCATGTTTTCCTTGGTTCACCAGACTCAACACAAATCAACTAGAACAGCCTGGGACTGTGGATGTCCTTGTGCGTGACGGAGGTATCCTGGTCACTCCTGGACAGGGCGTGCAGGCTGTGACAAAGGTGAAGACAGTGGCCCCGCTCACAGGATTAAACCCTGCTGGCTCGTGCTCTGAGGAGCCACAAAGCCTGGCCCTTTCCCTGGAGTCTGTGCCATGGACAGAACCTCCCTGACTGGGGCTGGAAGGCAGATACCTCCTCGAGGCTCACATCTGGGTGGAGCGTTTGGTGCCTGGCAGGTCTTGGCGTGACTCAGGCTTTGGGTTTTGTCCGAGGACCACAACACTGATGCCCTGGACAATGGCCAGCAGGGGCCCAGTTCATCTGTCCAAACTCCTGGGCTTGGTGCAGCATGGGAGGCTGAGGGCTGTGAGCCTCACTGGGAGCACAGGACATGAGCCACGGGGCCCTCGATCCCCAGTCCCGGGTCCAGGTAGAGACCTGTGGTTGGAGCCCATTGCCAGCTGCTGAAGGCCACAGCCTCCTTTGGTGTAGCATGACTGGTCCCCTGCCCGGGAGGGCTGCATCCTGTCACACCAGCATCTCCCACACTTACAAGACCTCAGGCCACTTTCTACAAGGGACAGCCTCTCCCCAAAGACACCAGCCAGACCTTCTCTAGCGGAAGAATGATAGAGGTAGAAAGATGATACACAGATGACTGATACAGGAGATAAACAACTGATCAGTAGAGTACAGAAGACAGATGATAGACTGATTAATTGATATTGATAGCTAGATAGATGATAAACAAAAAATACAGAGACACACAGACCAGTAGAGAAGACGGATGATGAATGGAAGGAAGAAAGGAAGGAAGGAAGGAAGGAAGCAAGGATGAAGGGAGGGAGGGAGGAAGGGAAGGGAGAGAAAGAGACCCATGGACAGAGAAATGGCTGCCTGTGTCCACCACATGCCCTGGGCCCAGGTTAGTCCCATGTTCCATGCTGTGGGCCCAGAACACTGCTTATGCCCATGGGCTCAGCTAGTGCATGGCCTTCCTCGCTGCCTCCCAGAGGTCAGTGATGCAGCTTTCAGCCTGGTGCTCTCTCTGGTCACCATGGGTCCCCAACGAGGGCGAGCCAGATGGGGGTGCAGGGTGTGTGTAAGAGAATGGTCCTGCAGCCCCACAGCCGGCCTCTCATCCCCACCTGCCTGTGGACGAGGCCTTCAGAGTCCAAGGCCCCAGGGGTCACCTTGCTCCACCCTCCCTACGGGCTGTAGTGCTCAGGCACCGACTGGGAAGCCTGGGCCAGTGGGGACGGCCCAGAAGATAGGACGTGCCCCCTCCTTGGAAGGCCTGTGCTCAGGGGCCCTCGGGGAATCAGTGTAACTCACCCGGCCACTGGAGTGTCCGGGGTGGGGCACATGGACACAAGGGGAGAGACACATACAAGACGCTGGTTCCCTCCCTTCAAAGCCAGCTTGACAGGAAATCTCAGGTGGGGGGCAGGGGCGGATCTGGTTCCGCTGATGGCTGAGAGAGCTTTCCAGCTCGGGCTGTTCTCCAGAAAGCTCCACTTTCCCAGCATGCTTTGCTCCCCCCACCCCGCCCTGTGCCACCGGCCCAGCGTATGGGGAGCATCGCTGGTGCTCGGCGCACAGGGCTTATGATCTGCCACACTGGAAAGCGCTTTTGGAAGCTCATGAGCGAGAAAATTAACAAGCCATTGACAGGAGAACCAACCACCACACGCCAAGGCAGCAGGAGCCACCTGCCCTGAGCCCAGTCTGCTTACCCGGCCACCCTTCTCTCCATTGGCACCAGGGAATCCCGGGAATCCAATGGAACCCTGCAAGAGAGTTAGTGAAGGAGTGGGCATGAGTGCCGGCCTGAAGGAGGAGGTAGGCTGCTGATACCTCCTCTACCTAGTCACCCACCTGCCCACCCACCATGCTCCAGCCATTCATCCTGCCACCCACCTACCTACCCACCGTCATCTATCCACTAACCCACCCACCACCCATGCATCTACTTACCATCTACCCATCCACTCAGCCAGCCATCCATCCACCTATCTACCCTCCTACCCATGTTATAGCCATCCATCCATCTGCCCATCACCCACCCATCTAACACCCATCACCCATCCATCCATCTATCTACCCATCACCCACTCGCTCAACACCCCTCCACTCATCAACTCAATAAATAACTCCTGAGCATTTCCAACTCCAAATATAAAAACCCAACTGGAGCCTAACATGCTCCTCACTCCACACCACACCCTCCTCCCACACACCGAGGCTGGGGCACACTGCTGGATCTGGTGGGGGGAAGGGGCCCTCTGCTGCTCAGAAGGCCTGGCGATGCAGTACCAACCTCGCACCTCAGATGTTTTGTTCACCAGGCCCATGGCCAGGTTTGTGATCTTCCCACAGCGCCTCTAACTAAAGAGTGGCAGCTTGCAAAGTCAGAAATAGACGTGAGGTTATGCACAGGCCGAGGCATCCAACAGCTACTCGACCCCAGGAATCCACAACATTGGCAAAGAGTGGACTTAGGGACTTTGGGCTGGCGAATATCCAGACCCCTGCTCTGTGCAGGAAGGAGGGTGACAGTGAGTCTCCAAGGCCCTGCCTGGGGTGCTAGTCACCACCTTCAGGAGGTCTCTACCCTCTGATCTGCACCTGGGCCTGTTCCAGGTGCTCATTTCCAAACCTGCACGTCTCCTAGGGGGCTGAGCTTGGCAGCACACTCCTATGCCCACCTGCCCATCCAGGTGGAGCCTGGGCCAGGAAACCATGGTGCTAGTGACACAGAGCCCCGCCCAGAAATGGGTCACCATACGGGTCAGCCGACTGCTGCTTCTTATCACTAAGGACACACAGGAGGTTTCAAAGTTCTGCCTGCCCTTCCAAAAGCCATCGGAATGTGATTCCTCTCCTCTCCAAAAGGACTAGTTAAAAAGAGAAAATGTGTCCGCCAGCCCATTTGCGCACCTGGGTGGAGAACACTCAGCTGGGAGCGATGTCATGGCCACTGCCAAGGCCCCGGGCAGACACTGAGCAGGAGTCTGCTCCCCAGCCAGCCCCTCTCTCTATACGGGGTGAGGATATTCTGGGGAAGATGGCGCTTCCCACATGCCCATCCTCATGTTAACGGGGCCAGGACGGAGACCCAGAGACCTGGAAGGCCTGCGGGTGGACGGCGGTGGAAAGAAGGAAACTCCAAGCTGAGGCGGGCAGGGCTTCTCCGTGGCTAACTAGGTCTCTGGTGCAGGCAACCGGTTATTGTTTAAGGAAGAACCATGAATAATAAAATGTGAGATTTGAAAAAAATAATGTTTGCAATGATCCCCAAAGCCTTCAGTAGCTGTTTCACTTAAACCTGAACATGATTGCATGTGCGAAAGGCTTCGGCTCTTTGTTAGGCTCCATCTCGAGCAAATGGCCTGTGAGTCTCCAGAGTGAAGCAGAGCTGAGACAGTCCCCAGAGTTCTGGGCGTGGACAAACCAGGGACAGGGCCGCTGGAGGCTGCCAGTCCCCCCCCCCCGCCCCGCTGCCCGCCGCTGGGTGGAGTTGGTCCCACCTCCGAAAGGCTCCCTCACTGCCACACCTCCCTCAAAGGCCACGAATAATGACCTGAAGCCATAGCGACTGCTGCGTCACAGAAGCCAAAGGGGAAGAGAACGGATGGTGGAGGGGGGCAGTGTCACGGCCTGTGCCTAAATTACCTTTGGCCCTTGTCTTCCTGGGTACCCAGGTAACCCTGGGACTCCGAGTTTGCCCTGGGGAAGAAGAAAAGCACTGTGTTATCTGGAGAGCAGCAGGAAAGTGGCTAGCCCCGAGGGACGTGGTTCCCGGAGGATGCAGGCCAGGTCACCACAGCAAGGCCCCTGTGCCCTGGGACGCAGCCTCTGAGCCCTCCTAGTGAGATGGCCTGGCGTCCCTGCTCTGACAGAGAAGCAGAGCGGCTACGGGGGAACACCTCACGGCTCTCCTGGGGGCTGTTTCTTAAGCCTCTTGTCAGAGCTCTGGCCACAGGGACTCGTGGGGCAGGGAGCTTTCTCCACTCCTCCCAGCTAGAAGGGGAAGGGGCTGGGCCAGGACAGCCCTGTAGGTGCAGCGTGTGTTCCCACAGTGGGCAGACAGGCTGGAGAAGGCCCCCTCTGCAGAGCCTCCCTCCCAGGGACCATGATGTTCGGTCGGGAGAGGACACAGGTGCCCGTGTGCAGCTTGTGCCCTGGGGACACGCGGAAAGCGCTCCTCCTATCGGCAGAGAGCTCAGGAGGCCGGACTCAGAACAATAGGATCTGCCCAGCTGTGCTCATGGCCCAGGGGAGGAGATGGGGTCCAGGAAGGATGCAGCCTGTGCCCAGGGCTCTGCCAGCAGCCGGGAGCCTGAGGCCTAAGGAGGGGCCTGTTCGGGGTCTTGGGTGGTGCTGGACATCCTGTGTCACCAACCTTCTCCCCAGGGGGCCCCAGGGGACCTGGATCACCATTGGGACCGCCTCGGCCCTTTGGGCCTTCAGGGCCATCTTCACCCCTGGGACCAGGCGGGCCGATCTCCCCCTGCAATGAGAGAAGAGCAGTGAGGGAGACCCCCTCAGTCTCCACCCTCCACCGATGGCGCCACCGCTGTCCAGGAGTGACAGGCTTCTTGCACAGATGCCACATGCCCGTGCATCTCACTGAGTCAAGAGACTGCACCAAGGTCCCAAATGGGAGCCCCCAGATCACAGGGTGCTGCTGGGCGCCATGCTGTCCCCAGGCTGCCAGCCCTTCCTCCCAGTTACCTTGTCTAGTCCAGGGCCCCACAGCTGAAATAACCCTGCTCAGCAGGCTCAGCCCTGAGTTGCTCCCTCCCCAAACACGCAGGACAGATGGGGACCTCAGGAGGACCACAGCCCTACCTGGGCAGTTCCCCGGGACACCACTGGCACCCAGAGACCCGAGGACCCATGCCAGAGATGGAGGCTTAAATGCTGCCTCATCCAGTGTTCCCACATTGCAGGTGGGGAGTCCTGGGCCCCAGCCAGAAGGGTCCCCCCAGCTGCTGGGTCAGAGGCAGCACCGTGGCCGGCTTGGGACAGCTGCAGTGGGGCCCCTGTGGCCATTGGTTCTCCAAGTGGCTACAGAGCAGCTAGGTGGCCCCATAAGAACACGCACCACACGGATAGCGACTAACAACCTCCCGGCCCTGACAGTGGAGCACTTCCTGTCCCCAAGAAGGTGTGTCAGGCTCTGCACCCAGGAAACAGGAAACAGCGGTAGCACCTGCACCGGGGCTGGGGACCCAGTCCTGCTCCAGCCACCAGAGCTCTGTTCCCAGGGCCAGTGTGTCCTTCGTGTGACCTCTGCAGGCCATGCTCTGGTCACACGGACCCCAAAGGCGTGTATCAAGCCACAGAGACGAAGGGTGACAAGGACTTTCACCGTGGAGCTGTCGGGGCCCAGGGAGGGAGGGAGGTCCAGTGTGGCTGCCTCCAGCCACGGTGCAGCAGTGGGGACAGAGCCGTGGGACAAACCCCCGCCAGCCCCCTCCGCCCAAGGACCACAGAGCGCAGTGCGTGCCGTTGTCCTGCCGGACGGGGACAGAGCACCATGTGTCCCGGGCCCCTATTCGGGATCTTCTGGAAAGGGCCTCCCCGCCCCACTTTGGATGTGGCAATCTCTGCAGTGGCCTGCGCTGGCTGACAGATGTCTGTCCAGGTGTGCACACAGCTGCCGGCTGGCTGTGCCGCCTGGGAGGAGAGGCGGCACCTGCCTCTGCCTGGCTCCTACGCAGCACGGCCAGGTAGGGAAACTTCATCACCTTCTCCCCTGTGTATGGGACAATGTACCCGTGCCCTTCTACTGAGTACAACGCTGGGCATGGCCACCCACGCTGGCACCAGGATTCATTGCTCAGCAGGAGACAGCCAGGCTGCTGGGCTTCTCCCGAGAGGCCAGCCTCGGGGGGCCCAAAGGGGACTGAAGTGCTGTGTGAGGACCAGGGTGGTGCCAGGGCTCGGGGAGACCTGGATCCCAGCAGGGTGTGGCCCAGGCAGGTGTCCTGAGACCTGCCAGGGAGGAGGCAGCCCTGGCTTTCACAGGGACCTGGGCCCATCAGGCTTCAATTCCTACCACCTCTCTTAGTCATGAGGGTCTCAGCCAGAAAATAACGAGTCCCCGCTGACCCAGGACCCAGGTCAGAGGCCACGGTGGCCCCCAACCCCCAGCCTGCCCTGCCCCGTGACCGGGTCCCTGCAGAGGTGGGGCCTCCCTTCTGAGAAGCAGCTGTCACTGAAAACATCCTCTGCCCTTCCTGAGGGACCCCGAGCCCACCTGCTCATCCCCAGCCCTAGTCCAAGCTTGAAATACTCACCCGATCGCCCTTGATGCCCATGTCACCTTTAAATCCAGGGAAGCCGTCTTCGCCCTGAATGGGGACAAGAGGATGCCTCGGTCTACAGAAAAGAACCCACACCGCTCCCACAGTGGGCCAGTACTCAGCACCGAAACTGAATGGTGGGCCAGCACCCCAGCTCAGTGTCCAGCAAGGGCAGTGCTATGAGCAGGGTTATGGCTGGGCCTGGTCCACACGGGACCACTGGAGCCAGCAGTGTGAGCCAGCAGCGCCCGAACTCCTGTGGCATCACATGCGGTGTGAGGCCCACTGCAGCTGGAGGGGACAGACTCACCTTCTCGCCCTTGGTGCCCTTCAGACCTCGGATGCCGTCTGCCCCCTGTGCAGGCAGAGAAGAAGACAGTGGTCACCGAGGGGAGCCTGGCTGGGCCCGGACAGGGGCGCCGGCCCTGTCAGGCAGGGTGGAGCTCTGTGCAGGTCCTGGCCAGCCACTGCCCCTGGGACAGGCTCCCTGCTGCCCCAGAGCCCCCGTGTCAGGAGGAACAGGTCTCCCGACCCCGGGCCCAGGGGATCCCGTCTCCTCCGCTACAAAAGAGCCCAGCTCATGCCTAGCCCTGGCCCTGAGCTCCAGGTCTGCCCTTCTGAGGCCAACATAGCCTCCCACACTAATGTCTTGAGGCTCCGGGGATGGACCAGGGCACAGGCCTGGCCCCCAGCTCTGGGGCTGCTGATGGGCCATTTCCTGATCTGGCAAGCAGGCCGGCAAGGCCTCAATTCTTTTTCCACTGCTGGGAGGGAAAGATCCACAAAGCCCTCGGGACAGTGCCTAGTATGTGACAGGGGCTGATGAACAGGGCTGTGGCAGCGGATTACTATAACTGTGTTATCAGCACCACACGAGAGCGGCTACAGCACCGATCAGTGACATAAGAGGCGCCACGGTTGTGACCGACATGGGACACCCACCGCTGCGCTCTGGTAAGCATGACATTCAGGGCAGGGCCACACACGCTCCCCAGCCCCACGCTGGGCCCAGCACCGGCCAGCACAGCTCACAGCCTGGAACCCAGAGACACAACCACAGCCTCGCTGACAGTGCTCTGGCCCTCAGACCTCCGAGCAGGGTGACCACCTCAGGCCACCTGCCCACAGGACCCAGAGAGGGCCCGTGCCTCCCTCCTCAGCTCCGGGCTGAGCCTATGGCCTGGCCTCAGCGGTCTCCTCTGAGGACCCGGGGACCACCAGCTGCCCTCTGGTGGCCAGAACACGTCACAGCCGGTGGCAAGGTTCTGAGCTGTTTCCCTGGGACTGGGGCAAAGGGGGCCTGGAAGAGAGGGAGATACAGCAACCGACCGCACAGCCTGGGCTGTGGTGTGGCCCTCGAGGCCCACCCTCTGCCTGGAGGGACAGCCGCTGTGACCGGAAGCACCATCGGCTCCACTGTCCTGACTGTGAGCGCTGCGGGGCCTGGAGTCTGGGAGGCAGGAGCAGGCTTAGCCAGGCACAGCCAGGGCCTAGAGAGGACCGGCCTGACTCTGCTGACAGTCAGACACCCTCAGAAGGGCAAGACAGGAGGAGAGCTAGTGGTCGGTGACACAGGGATACCATGCCTGTGTCCCCGGGTGGCCCTGCAAGGAGATCTGGTGCTGGGGTCCAGCTGGGTACGTGCCCAGCAGGCTGAGGCCCCAGTTCTGGCACCAGAAGAGAGAGAGGTGGGTCCTCGAGCGATGGGGACTGGGCCACGCAAGGGGAGCCTTGTGAATGGGGCAGTGCCCTCAAGAAGGCCCGTGGGGCCCGTCCCCCTGCTGCCACTCGAGGACGCAGCGCAAACACACCGTGTAGGAAGCAGACAGTACCCTCACCAGACGCAGAACCCACTGGCCCCTTCCGCTTGGGCTTTGAGCCTCTGGGACTGTAGTAGGGGACATTTCTTTTGCTTCTCAGTCCCTTAGCTTGTGGGATTTGGGTCATAGCAGCCTGTTGTGATTTCTCTCTAGATGTCTGTCCCCAGGAGCCCCCTGTGCTCATAAGCTGGGCATACAGGGCTCATAGCTGTCTTGCTGTTAGGGTCACTGTGGATGTGACCCGGAAGGGCTTATCTCCCTCTCTGGCTCCTCCTTTGACTCTGCTTCCTGTCCACCATGACACCAGCAGCTTTTTCTCCACCAGGCCCCTCTGCCATGCTGTCCTGCCCTACAGCCAGCAGACCATGGACTGACAAGGTGAGCCAGAATGACCCTCTCCTCTTCCAACTTGTGACATCAGGTCTCAGTCCCAGCAGTGAGAAAGTAACTGACACAGCTGGCGGACTTCGATGGACACTGTCTCAGCAGACAGGCCCAGCCCTAGTGGGCACTAACTGCACCCCTCTCACCCAGGACTGCTGTTTCCCGCAGCGACAGCTGGACCACTGCTCCCGCTGGCAGCTCTGCTGCATCCACGCATCCCAGGCCCAGTCCAGTGGGGCGCGAGGGTCTCTGTTTTCCCAGTGAGAGCTGCTTCAAGCCTTGGTTTTCTTTCCACTGTCTGCTTCCAAGTCTGACTGGATTGCTCAGGTCACGAGTGAATTTTAATCAGATAGACAGATAAGAGCATTCTCCAGGAACATTTTAAGGCAAACACCTTTCAGCTCAGAGAAGCAGCCTTATGCAATTAGCCATCCACAGGAACTGCCAGGGGCTGTGCTGTGCAGCAGGGATTTGTGAGATAAACATGCATCTTCGGGCTCACATAATCAGCATTCTGCTAAATTATCACCCTTATAGAACGCATTGGGCATTTTGCTGAAAAAGCATAGTATGGGGGAGCCTGACCACCCAAGGCTCTCGATCCCTGGAAGGTCACTCCTGACTGCTCTTGGACTTGGATTGTCCTGACTCCTGGGGCTCGGAAGTTAGGGACACTTGGGGACAGAGAAGGGACACCGGACCAGGAATCAGCAAGTCAAGAGCCAAGCACTGCCTGGCACATGGAGTTTAGCGTAATTGGGGATGGGAGCGGTCAATGAAAACTTCGGTCCTGGTTTCCGGGCCCCCCATGACCCCACAGTTAAGCACCCTTCCAGGCAACAGTGCTAGCCAGGGTTAAGACTCCACAAACCACAGACAGCCTGGCCCTGAGCTCAGACGGGGTTCTGTGTGTGTGCTTCCCCACTTGCCACTTAAAATCATCCTGAAGGAGAGAACCAGCCCCAGCTCTCCTGAGCTCTGAGACGCTACAACATTTCCGCTCTCGGAGAAGGAGGAGACCTCGCCTTCCACATCCCTGTGTGTGGATGAGCTGCATAACTCGAGATTAAATCACGAAGCGCAGAGCCGACCAGTTAGGGCTGATAGGACCAGGGGTGTGTGCCACGGATATTGCTCTGCAGCTCTGGGCCCTGTTTAACAAGATTCTGGGTGCCTCCAAACAGCAGGAACACGACGGCCAACAAGCACGCGCCTCCCACGGCTCCCCAGCAGCTCCGGCTGCCCAGATGGCGTCCAAGGGGCAGGCGGTTCTCACTCTGCGAAGGTGCAGCTGCATGTCCGAGCTCCTCGGAGCCCAAGCGCCCTGCCTCGGCTGAGACCGTGGCTGCCAGAGGCTTCACAGAGTGGCCTCAGCTTGATGATGGGGGACAGAGGGAGACGTGTGGCATGGTAGGACGCTCCCTGTCCTGACAGATGGCCAGCACCCACCACCTCTTCCTCGAGCGGGCTCGAGACTGTCCCCTGCTCCAAATCAGCCCCTCCTGGTGCCATAGGGACTCAGCCCAGTGTCCCCAACCCTGACCGGGGGGACTGGGCTGCTTCGGGAGTCCCCAGGACCAGCCAAGCTGTGCCCCACCTGTCCACAAAGACTTGGAACTGCACGCATCCCACTCACCTTGACTCCTCGAGGGCCCGGGTAGCCTAAGGGACCCTGGGGACCAGGTGGACCCTAAACCAAAGGGAGACACAGTTAGCTCAAAGTGACGAGGGTGCCTGCATAGCTGCTGTCAGCTCCAGGTCCCCCAGCACCGGACAGGGTGACGTTCCCACCCGCCAACCCCGCACACAGTCTGCTAATGACCATGGCAGCCGACTGCGTCTCTGGGTGGAGAGGACACCTGGAGCCAACAGAGCTGCCCCGTCCCACTCCAGTGGCCCAGAGACCAAGAGCAACTGGGCTGGGACAGAAGGAAAGGCCGGGTGGCACCATGGAAGGACAGAGCTGCCATCCGAGAGGCGTTCCCAGCCAAGGGCCTTGGGCTAACGTGGCAGAGCTTCTGCTCAGCAGAGGGCACAGGGCCACTGTCCGGTGACTCTTGGGAGTCCCCAGGCTGCCACCTCCAGGCCCAGAGGACCTGACTTGACTGCCCGGGAGCTGGGTGTGGCGAGACCCACCTGGCCTCCTTTCTCTCCTGGAGGGCCTTCCTTGCCAGGGTGCCCCTGTCAGAAAAGAGAAGCTGGTCAGCACCTCTGAGAGCAGCCGCCGGCTTCCCCTCCACCACCCGCCACCCACTTACCAAGGTGGCAGTGACAGTCACAGCCCCCACTCTTCCCTCCCCCAGAAGATGGACTTCAAGGACCTCTGGACAGGTGGCCCGGCACAGCGTGGCCTCGCCCAGTCCCTCTGAGAGGCGCCCAGGAAGCGGCACCCCGGCCCTGACCACAGCCAGCGTGGATCAGAAGGGGCACCCGTGTCCCGCCCTGGGATGGCCACGATTGGTGGCCCCTGACTCAGCGCCCAGCCCACCCTTCAGGGCCAATCCCAGCAAACACAGATGTGGGGACAGGGACGAGGGGGCACTTCCCAGGTCACCCGGCCATGCGAGCATGGGGATAAGGGGCTGAGACCCCACTCCGAGCACAGCGGCCTCCCGCACCAGCAAGCTCCCTGCCAAACCACGGGAAGGTGGGCAGCACTGGGCTGTCCTACCATCGGCTGTGGGGCCCAGTGCAGCCAGGTCTTCACGCCTGAGGGCCAAGACTCGAGTGCTCACAACCACTGAGGCTCCAGCTGGAGACCTAGCTATGGAAATCTCTTCAAGAAACATTTGTGCTCTTTCATTATTGCCTTTTGAGGCACTGCAGGTCGAACCCAGGGCCTTCACACTGAGCTGGATCCCCCACCCTTTCATCTTTTATTGTGACACAGAGTCTTGCTGAGTTGCCCAGGCTGCCCCAGTAGAGTAGCTGGCGTTACAGGTGTGCACCATCACGTGCAGCTCTTCTGTTCTTAGTTGTGCAACTGGAGTGGATGCCTTTGCAAATCTGTCCACAGTGGGAGCCTGGGTGGCCCTGGAGGACACTCCAGCCCAGTGGGTGTGCCAGCACCTGGGACACATCGGGCCAGCCCTACCTTCCAGAAATGCCATCTGTGCTATGGATGCCAGCAGCTCAGGGTGCCAGGGCTCAGCCCAAACAGTGCCGAGAGAGGGCTGGGCTGGGGCGCCAAGGCCAGCTTTGCAGTCTTGGCTGGCCAGTCTGCCGGGCGCTGCCTGGGGTAGGCAGGTGTGCTGTGCACAGAGCCCGGTGACACACAGGGACAGCCTCGAGCCCTCACTTGGCCCCCCTGCCCTCTCCACCCAGCTGCTTGGGCCACTGCTAGGGACACAGGGAGCAAGATCGCGATGTGCTCCGGCAGCCAGGGGCCCGGGAACACGGCAGCACCATCCCTGTGACCCGGCAGCACGGAGGCCCAGGGCCCTGAGCTGCTCTCGGGGTCATGTCCCCGGGATGGGCAGCTGGTGGGACGTGCACTGCCCGGGTCTTGAGGCAGCAAGCACAGTGCCAGGCTCCTCCCTTTGTCCTTGTTGGCATTTTCCCAGTGTTCTGTAATGAACGCGACTTTCGTGATGCGAAAATAATAAAGCCCAAATTATTCGTAATTGATATTTTTCTGATTAAAAAAGTAATGTATGTTCATTATTGATGAGGCAAGGGAAGAGGGAAATGACAGCCCTCTGAGCTCAGCCCACAGTACCTGTGGCTAATTGTGGGACAAAGAGCTTCTAATCCGGCTTCTCTCTAGATACCCACGCACAGCACGCGGCCCAGTGCAGTTTTAATTTAAGATGAGGGCGTGAGCATTTTCTTGTGTCACCAGAGAGCCACTGAGAGTCGAGTTTTTACTGGCTCCCTAGTATTCCATGGACCCCTAACTCACTTAACCCCTCTCAGGCGCATGCCTTCTAACGGTGCACTCCAGCACATTGTGTCGGCCTTGAAACATTTCCTACTCCCTGACCCGTTTTAAATCAACCTTTCTTTCTTCAAAACCCAAACCAAACCAATGCAAGAGAAACAAACAACCGTCTCTTTAAGGCTGATCGACAATGTGCTGTCTTTGCAGAGGAGAGGAGAGAGAGAGAGAGAGAGAGAGAGAGACTGGGGATTGAACCCAGGGCCTTCACACTGAGCTACCTCTCCATCCCTTTTTTATTTTGAGACAGGGTCTCAATAAGTTGCTAAGTTACCCAAGCTTAAACTTGTGACCCTCCTGCCTCAGCCTCCCCAAGCCCTGGGATGTCAGGCCTGCTGCACCACACCAGACACAGAGGAGAATATTTTTACCCCTTCTTTTTTTGGAACCAGGGATTGAACTCAGGACCTTGCGTTTGTGAGGCAGGCAGCAGGCGGCAGGCGGCGGAACCACTGAGCTAAATCCCCAGCCCAACCTCTTCTCCCTTCCACACACACCAAAGGGGCTCTCTTTCCTGGGTCTCCAGATTTGGTCCCTTTGCAACTGCTACTCCTGCCCTTCCATGTGACCCACACTCAAAGGCAGACTTTACAGTTTAAATGCTGGCTCAGAAGCGAGGCCGAGAGCCAGTTAGCCCCAGGCGGGGTGGGGCTCCTAACCGGCCCTCTCTGCCCACAGCATGCAAAAGGGGACCAGTGTCCCTCAGGGAGCCCGACTCTTAGGGGGCCTCACATCTGGCCAGGAGGGTCCCCTCTGAGCTCACGATGCACTTAGCAGCAGATGCCTGTGTGTGTCACCCGGGGCGGGTGGCGAGGACAGGAGGAAGGCGCCAGCCTGTGGTCCCCAGTAAAGCACACAGATGCCACCAGGTGGCTTCTATGCTGTCATCATTTTATTTACTTCTCTATGTATGAGAAAATGTGTCTTTGCAGCCTGAGAAAATGCAGCTCAATACAAACATAAATAAAAGGACACAAGTGTCACGGCGGAAAGATGAAGCACTCAGTACCCAGACCCCATGTGCCCGGGCCACTGTGTGTCCCTAAAGGAGCCCACATGGGGACAGGGTGATCTCTCTGCTCCGACTCACAAAGGGCGGCTGTGCTTTGTGATTCACCGGGCGAAGGGACCTCTGCCCGGGGAGGGGAGACACAGTGTGCACTGCCACGGTCACCAATTACCTGGCAACACTTTACTTTCCTGTTTAGGTTTTAACAGTGTCATTAAAGCAATGGCATGCGCTGTCCTACATGATTAAGTCAGTGCATCTTGGCTTCTGACACAGGCTTGCTTTCTGCGTCAGCTGAGCGCACCTAACGAAGCCCAGAGCCACCTTGCAGAGAGAGTGGTGGGTGGAGAACACCCACGCGGGCGTGCGCACACTCTGAGTGCTTCCACCTCCCCACACGTCCCTCTCCACACAGCCTGGCCACAGATTGGATCTGTCACCAGCTTGCTATTCCAGGCGGAATCTAATTTGGTGCACAGCTGTGTGCTCATACGTCGCAAGCACACTTGTCCCTACCTCCCCACGTGTTCCAGGAACGCTAAAAATGCACACAGCGAACCAGCACTCCCACCCAGGACCCCCAGACCCAGGCGATGGCTCAGTGCCCAACCCAGCCCTCACTGGAGTCATGCTCTGGTGGCTGAACACACACCCTGTCCCTGCCTGCACGGTCACCACCCTGTGATGGAAGGGTGAACAGTGAGCCACAAGCTCCACCTCAGTGGGTCTGGAGAGGGTCCTGGTCTCCCTCTTCCTGAGCCTGGGCTCCAGCCCCAGCCCTGGGTGGAGCCCGTGGGGGTGGGTGGGGCACACAGGGCTACTCACCGGGGGTCCATCAGCACCGGGCATTCCTGGAAGTCCGGGCTTCCCCAAAGGACCCTAGAACAGACCAGACACTGCTTGAGGAAACGCCCTGGCTCTGCTCTTCCCTGACCTGCCAGCCTTTAGTGCAGCCCCAAGGCTGCTCTCCAGCATTCCCACCCCAGAGCTGCGGTGGAGAAACGAGCTTCCACGCACCCTTCCATGCCGCCGCCCACACCCACGGCAGCCTGTTGGAGCAGCCCAGTGTCCCAGTCCCCTCCCTGAGCTGTTCTCAGCCAGCCCGGCCCTGGCAGCAGTCGGGCCATCTGTGTGCCAGCCCTGGAGCTTCTGACCCACGCGCCGCGCACCCCCGAGGCCTCCTACTCCCCTCCACGCCAGGGCAAGGCAGGTGTGCAGGTGCCGTAGGGCCCCAATCTAGCAAAACAAAAGTAAACCGCAGAGCCACACACCAAACAAGGTGCCCGGCTAAATGGGAATTTCAGAGAAATAACTCCGGCTTCACATTTAACTGGGCGTCCTGTCACTTTACTCTTGCTAAATCTGCCCATGTTTGGCAGGAGGGTGAATAAGTGAGTGAATTTAGGAATGGTGAGTGACAGAGAGCTCTTCCTCATGGCGGACTCGCTCGGTTCCGCTGGGCTGAGCTCTGGGGCAGCCTCCCCCTCCCCACGGCTCAGCCCACTCACCTTATCTCCCGGAGGACCGATGGCACCCTGGGGGCCCGGAAGACCCTGCGGGGACAGCCAGGCAGCAGGGGTGAGGAGAGGACAGCTGTGAGCCCCTCCCGACACCTGCCTGTCCTCCTGCTGACCCCCTCCCGACCCGCACACCAGGGTCCGAGACTGAGGGGCAGGCCTCAGTCTGCCCTTCCCGTGGTTGCAACCCCTGAGCCCCACCACCAACCCACTTACCTGGGCACCGGGGTTGCCCTGCTGTCCCGGGGGGCCGGGCTCTCCCTGGGGGCCCTATGGGAAACAGAAGCAAAGGCCCTGAAGGGGGCTCAGGAACTGCACCTCCCTCCCTGCCACCCACCCTTCCATCTGCTCCTAACTGCCCCAGCGACAACACCAGGTGCCAGCGCAGCCCGGTGGGCATGGGTCACAGGTTCCGCCACAGAGCACAGGGCCAGGACTTGGAGCACTGGGGCTGCTGCCCTTGCCTCTGACACAGGGGGCACTGACTTGTGCCCGCACGGATCCCTGAACCAGGCAGAGAAGTGTTTCACTGGGTAGAAACCCCTACGGTAGGGCCTCCTGTTTTCTTAGTTTCCGGTGTCCTTAAAAGACAGTGCCCGGGGTCTCAGCTTCTGGGGCATTTGCTGCCAGCTCCTCCCAGGGGAAGGAGGTGACCTCCTCACTCCGCATCTCACTGAGTGTCCAGGCGCTGGGCAGACAGACACTGGCTCAGATGGCAATGAACTGCGGCTCACATCCGAACCTTCGCTTCCTAGCCCGCCGACGGCAGTGAGGGCCCAGCCAGACCAGATGTGCCCACTGGCCCAGACCCTGGGACCTGGGACTCACCACATTTCCTTTCGGGCCTGGTTGACCGTCCATACCCGTCACACCCTGTGGAGATTCAAAAAGTAGGTACTGAATGTAGACAAATAAACAGTGATGGAAAGGAAAGTCCTGCTTGACGTGGTTCAGTCGCCTGCCGCACATGGTAGCAGGGGACAGGACATCCTTGGGGCAAGGGAAGAGTTGACCCCAAGTCCCTTTCCCCAGAGCCTGCTGATCGGCCCCAATCCCTCTGCCAAGGGTCAGCTGAGCTGCCAGGCCCAGCATCATCTGGATGGGAGGCCGAGTTCTAGACGGGCTGCTTGGAGGTCTTGCAGGGCAGGTCCAGGCCTCAGGACAGAGGCCACCGGAAGCCTCTGCCTGCTGCCAGAACCTCGCTGAGGGAGGTCTGCTGGAAGGTCTCTAGGCAGAAGACCTGGCCCCGGGCGGGACTGCTTATAGAAGAAACAGCGAATGCTCCAACCTGCCCGCCCTCCACGTGCATCCCATACTGCAGGTGCCCACCCCACTGCCCCAGGGGCCAGCAGGGTCCCATATGCCAAGAGGTGATACACTTACGGGGGGTCCTGGAGGGCCCGGGGGCCCCTTTGGCCCAAGCAGACCACGTGGCCCCTGCAGGAGGAAAGAGGAAGGGAGGGTCAGGGGTCTGGAGCGCTGGCCCTTGGTCCCTGGCCCCCAGCGAATCTCGTGCCCTGACTGGGCTGTCCCAGAACCTGGCCAGTGACCTAGGACTCGGGGAGGGTGATGGAGACACCCCTGGCCCTGGTGCCGGGAATCAGAGGCAGGGGCACCTGGCATGGAGGGGCACTCTCAGGAAAGGGCTCTTTGTGGTGGGTGCCTGCTCAGGCCAGGCGGGTAGACGCTGTCCCATAGAAAAGCCACAGTTACACCAGGCTGCTGGGTGCTCTGCCCGACTCGCGTCACCGGTCTCTCTGGGGTCCTCTCAGCAAAGACAAGCAGCTTTAGCTCTGCTTTCAGGGAAGTAAGCGTGTGGGGAGCGGGGTCAGGAGAAGCTAGGTCTCTGATGGGAGCCTCCAAATCTTGCTGGGGGTGGTCACCCCCTCCGCAGCTGTGAGGGGCCCGTGCAACGGCCCAAGTACTCCAGAGCGGGCACAGCCTGGTCCTGGTCACTGCCTGGGACGCTTTATGGAGACTCAAGACTGCACAGGATGGCCGCGCCCACCCTGCCCCAGGGACAATGGAGCCTTTGACCGCAGCACAGGATTTCAAGAGCCTTTGATTTTGATACTAGAACCTCTCCAGACAGAGTAGAGAGAAACCCTTCTCATAGTCTTTGCCCCTTAAGTGCTTCCTCCGTAATTTTAATACCTAATCATAGAAATGGTTCCTGGAAGCTAATAACCCAGAAGGCACTGCTCGGATGTGTGTGAAGGAGAGCAGTGTGATGGATCCTCCTCACAGGCTAACCGGGCACTGGGTAGAACTCAGTCCCGGGCAGACCCACACAGGCCACCCTGCCCTCTCAGCACAGTGTGCACAGTATTGGTCATCAATTAATGTGGCCAGATGCGAACAGCCTCCTGGCTTGGACAACCAGAAGAGAGAGGTTTCGAGCTGCAGTAACTGAAACATAATTAATATCCTGGTATCACTGAGAAAATTTGCTTGAGGCCTAACTATGAGTGACCTGGGGAAAGTTTCTCCCTGTCGGGGGCTGGGAAGGTGCAGCCATCAGAACAGGAGCAAAGTGGCTGATCCTGGCCCTGTGACAGCCTGGCCACTGGCCCGGCAGCAGCCTGGATGCCCAGGGCTCTCTGGGGCCAGCATCTAGCTGCAGGGAGGGGTGGGCTGTCCCGCCTGCTGTCGCCCAGCCCCAAGTGCGCTTCCTGGTTCCTCTCCAAGTGAAAGGCCAGGGTCCTCTGTGCTCAAGGCTAAGCCCTCGCCCCTCTGCATGTCTAGTCCCGCTTTGGAAGTGGCCTTGCTGTGGCGTGGTCCCCACATCACCGAGACCCAGAATCCCACCCATCAGCGCACCTACCGGCTCCCCTGGCAGCCCTCTGGGCCCAACTTCTCCATCGTCACCCTGTGGAGGAGAGAGCGGGGGATCTTAGGGGCACACTTCGAGGCGGGACACCGAGAGACAATGCCCATCCGGCCGGCCATGCAGCAAGGCTCTGGCCGGGCTGCTGCTCCAGCACCTGCCACTTCCTAGCCCCACACCCACAGGAGGGGCCTGGGAGGCCCCACGCCAGCCAGCTGCAGGACATGCATCCTCCGGGACACAGTGGGGCTCTGCGAAGGTCCTGGTCACCCTCGTGAGTGACAGAAACTGGGAGGCAGGGGCAGCGGGAAGAGTCAGGGGAGCCCCTGGCCAGGCCCCAGGGCCCCACAGCTTAGAAGCAGACCTCGCCCGCACAGGAACGCTTCCTTGGCTCCACAGCCCCACACCTGGGCTGCTCACCTGGGGCAGCTCGGCTCACCACGCATCACTGCTCTCTCCTGTCCTGCACACGTGTAAGCACACAGTGCTGTGTGTGCACACAGAAACACCTCCTACATGTACATACACGCACACAGCCACACAAGCGTGCACACACATGCGCCCATGCATGAAAACAGCCCATATATCCTCACATACATACAGCCAGGCACACACGTTAGTACACACGCACCCTCACACCTTCTCACAGGGCGTGTGTGTGCACATAAACACATCTGCACACATACACATGCACACACTTTCCTCCTGAATCAAGGATCCACCTAGCAGGACCCTCTTCCCCTTCCTCATCTTACAGCAGGCTGTGCTGAGGCCCAGACGGGAGAAGAAGCCCCGCAGGGCAGTGTGAAACTGGTGAGAACAGAAAAGCCACTGGAGCCCGCTCCTCTGCTCCCTGCCTGCTCCACTGCAGCCGCCTGCTCCTCTCTTTCATGTTCCAGGCATTCTTAAACCTCCCCCAAATTCCCTAACACCCAAATACATTGCGTGACGGGATATGAGGAAGCCAGGGCTTATGGGTCCACAGCTGCGCATGCTCTGCACTGTGCATCCAGCCTTGGTCTAGAGATGTGCGTGGCAGGTACTGGGGCTCAGATGCTGCAGAAGCCCCAGGTTTGGGGAGCAGCTTCCCTCCCCAGTCACCTGCCCCTCTCCGCCTCCAGGGCTGAGGATAATGACTTCCTGCGGCCCCGCCCCTCCTCCCCTGGCCCCTCACTGCCACCTGCGCAATGCACCTGATACCTCCCACCTCCCAGACACCTCTAGTGAGATCTGCGGAGATGCTAGCTCATTAAGGCTCTGCCTCTCCTTCCTGTGGGTGGGCGAGGGGCACCTGCCTCCTACAATTAGAGGGGCTCTTCCCAGGACCTGTGACAGGAGAAACCACTCCAGGCCCTCTTAGCAGGAAGGGTGGGTGCAGTGAGGTAGATGTGGTGATCTGTTCATCTCAGAAGCTCTGCAGCGCCTCCCCACGGCCAAGCACCTCAGCACCCAGACTTCCCGCTCCTTCCTCCCACCAGCCACCAATCCCAGAGCACCTGGCCTCGCCCAGGGATCTCCCGGCCCAAACTCGCAGAGCAGGCGGGCAGGTGGTCCGCAGCCAGCAGCGCATACCTACCCTTTCTCCATCCTCTCCCGGGGGTCCGGGCGGGCCAGAAGGACCAGGGTCACCCTGGAAGGCAATCAGGGCCCATGTCAGCCACGCCTGAGCTGACGTGCAGAGCCTGTCTCGAGGCCCCGCTTCCTTGCTCTCTGACTAGGACCCTACAAATTCTAAGTCCTGTGAGTGTGCAGAAGGTCAGAGCCTCACACCGGAGTCCCACCTGGCTGGCCGTGGCGGCTGCGTCACCAGACAGCGCACCCAGCAGGCACAAGGACACTTCCAGGCCACGGAGTGGAGTCTGAGCCACCTGGGCCTGAGGGCGCCGTGCGGGGTGGGCGTGCCCACCTCATACCCACAGCCCACCCTCATGCCCAGGCCTCACGCACAGCTGCCACGCGCTATGTGCTCATCAGTCCATCAACAGGACCAAGGCTGAATCGGGTCTGCCTCACAGCAGTGTGGGCAGGTCTCATGGATGCAGAAGCGCTGGTGAACCCCAACCACTACTTTTCAACATGCAATGGAATGTGGCAGGTGACTCCCACTGGCCAGATCCAAGTGTGTGCTTGTGTTGCCTACATGTGCGTGCAAGTGCCTGAGTGTGCACATGTGTACGTGCAGGTACCTGAGTGTGCCTGTGTATGCCCACGTGTGCATGCCTGTGTGTCCATGTACATGCATGTATGCCTCTGTGGCTGTGCACGCCTGTGCACACACACAAATGCCTGTTTGTCCCAAATGTGTCAAAACTGAAAAGAAGCATCAAAGAAATCTGCTTCAAAGAAAGCAGGTCAGGGAGAAAACATCTGAGGAGCCACACAGAGGTATCATAACTAGTCCCTGCCACATGGGGCAAGCACACCAGCGCAGGCAGCCAGGTACTGGCCCAGCCCTCCCTATGAGGGACAAGGACCTGAGCTGTCCCCCTTCCCAGGCCACCACTCTAATGGTGCAGTGCCCCCGGCAGCCCCCCAAAGGTAGCTGCTGGCCTCCCGGAGGTTAAGAAGGCTCTGTTGACAGAAGGGGGCTTCTAGGTGGGGCGCCACCCCCCACGCCATGACACCCACAGGGGAGCATCCTGTTGGGTCCACGGAGCTTGCTCGCTACAAGCCACAGAAGAGGAGTCCAATTCGCTTCTGCTGACTTTCCATCAACAGAGACAACGTCTTGGGGGTCAGCTCCTTGTCACCCCAGTGAGCTTTCATGAGAACCACTTTGGAATGGAGGGGACCTGACCCTGGACAAGGAACCAGGCTGCATGGAGTGACCTCTGAGAAACCCTGCCAGCCCCTTGCACCCACACTCACCCTGTGGCCCTTCTCGCCAGGCAACCCGGCCAGGCCGTCAAAGCCGCGGTCGCCCTGCAAAGACAGCAGAGAGCTGCGTCAGATGCCACCACGCAGCTGGCCACAAAGTGGCCGTCCTTCTTCACGACTCTGAGTCAGAGCCACCCTTGGCCTTGGTGACCACTGGGCGGCCCTCTCAACACTGCCCATGTCACAGCGTCTACAAACCCTGCCTTTCCCCCAAGCCCCAGTAGGGGCAGCTGCCGGCCCTGGCCTCAGGCCACAGTGTTCACAGGGACTGGCACACACAGCATTTCGGGGGCTGCTGCACTGTGAGCCCATGCGCCTCACCTCGGGGTCTCCCCAGCATAAGGAGGGCACAAGAGTGGCAGCTGCCTGCCCTCCCGCGTGCTGCACCACAGCCTGCTCCCAGGCACCCACCCTGCTCCGGGGCCAGCCCACCTGCTTTGCCTCCCACAGCCTGTCTCGTGGGTGACTCTCTTCTCCTGTCTCCCCAGGTCACCAAAGATCAAGGCACCTCATGAGCTCAGGACTCAGGGGAGCACTCCAGGGCCCAGCCATGCCAACGGGGCACAAAAAGAGGGAGTGGACGCTTGGCTTCCTTGGTGACACAGGCTGCCCGCTTGGTCTCCTCACTGGAGAAAGGAACTGTCACCTCTGCCACCTCCCTGGAGCCAGCAGGAGGGGTGGCCCGGGGATAGGGTAAAAGTCCAGGCAAGGTCCCGGTACAGGCATGGACATGGGGATCACAGTGAGGACACTGACTGGCACAGGTCTAGACCCCACGCAGCGTGAGCCTGGCACTCATCCACAGGCTGCATCTGGTTGCCCTGCAACACCTCGAGCCCAGCCGCTGCAAGCAGGTAAGAAGACACCTGGCCCCCAACCCCGGCTCGAAGGCCGCCTGAGTGCTCCAAGGCCACCATGCCCCGAGCATGTGGGCTGGCTGCATGATGGCTCTCACGGTTGGGACTCCACCCCAGCCTACTCAGCACCAGGGGACAGGAGCAAGCTGTCCCCTTAGGGAAACTGACTGTGGCTGTCACTTGCACTGGCCATCCCGAGGAAATGAGCCCAGTGAGCTGTCAGCACCCACTGCAACCACATTCATGGTCTAACTCATGTGCAGGTGCACCATCACCATGACAATGGGAATGATGACAACCTTGGTGCCAGCACCAGGAGGTACAGAGCCTACCTTGGGGCCCGTTTGTCCGGGCATGCCTCTTGCTCCGTCACTCCCAGCCCGGCCCTGGAACAGAGGAGGCATGCAGAGGTCAGTACCAGAGGCAGGTGCTTCACCACGGACCGAGCAGAGGATGGACAGCCCAGCGCCCAGGCCACAGCCCCTCATGCAGTCAGGCCGGCCAGAGGACCTGGATCCGGAGCCCTGAGGCCCCCTCACCACACGCCAAGAACAAGGTGCTGGCCTTGCCAGGGTCCCTGGCACAATGCCACCTCCCCTCTGGACGTGCTAGACCCTGCTGGAGCTGCCAGTCTCAGGCACCGCAGCCTAGTGCTCTGGGGGGCATGCTGCTGACATCACCGCAGCACCCTACCCTCCGCCCCGAGGAAGGTACACAACAGGCTGGAGGCTCAAGTGCGGGAGAGAACATCAGTTAGTCCACTTGGCCAAGGAGGAAACTGAAAGGCTGCGAAGGGCCTGGAAAGGCTGCGTCTCCCCCAGGCCACACAGGGACCGAGACCCTTGTCCCCAGTGGCCACTCCCATGGCCATGACTTCCAGCCATGGAATGGCCAAGGCCAAGCCCACCATGCCCAGCTAACTGGCTACGGGGTTGGCGGGCAGGGCCTGGAGCTCGAGTGTCCACAACAAAGGCCCCATGACCACCACAGGAAGAGGCCCCAAGGCGGCAGGGACTCAGCCAGCCCTGTCACATTCTGCCAAACCTCCGTCCCTAATGAGGAACACCGGTCATCCGAGCACCGAGGACGGAGGCCCAGCTGCACCCCTATGCTATTTCCTGTGCACTCTGATCAAACCTGCCCTGGTCAACTCGCCACCAGGCAACAACATCTGGAGAGCAGGCAGCGGTCCGGGGTTTCCCCATGTGACAGGCAATGAGGACAGCACGGAGAAGAGCAGAGAAGGAAGCACAGAAGTCCCCACAGGCCAGGAAGGGAGACAGGAAGTGAGGGGACGTGCAGGGTGAGACTCCTCCGCAGACACACAGACCAGCAGGAGCCTCTCCTACAATCCTCAAACAGCTTTCGACATCAAGGGAAACCTGCGGGTGAGGTCCTGCCCTGCAGTATGTCCAGATGCTCCTACAGCCTGCGGGACGCGCTCCTCACAGGAAACTGGCTAAGACCTGGAGGCTCCTCGGAGCACCTGGGAGCGGGCACTTGTGTGCAGAGCGTCCTTCCCACACCCTCTTCTGCAGGGTGCCTTTGGGGCACACTGACTTGCTGGGATCCCCGGGCACAGTCACCCCTGCGGTGATTTCACTCAGCAGCTTGTGGGCCTGCGAACTGCCTGCTTCATCTCCCCTTCCTAACATCCCCTCAACCTGACCAGAGCACCTTTTAGCAAGACTTAGCTGTGTCCCCAGAGGCACCCGGGAAGCCTACTGAGACCACCCTGGCTTCAGGACCTGGCCCAAGATAACCTGCTGCCTGTCCAGGGATTCCTGAGCAGGATTCCACAGGATTCCAGTGGCCCCAGGGAATCAGCCCGTGCAGCCCCCACCTGTGCCTTGAGGCGATGGGCACTGGCTGCAGGGTCTCCTGTGTTTAAGCCCCCCGGGTCAAGTGGGGCACCCCCAGGTGGCCGGGATAGCTCTTGCCACTTTGTAAATGAATACCCCTTCCAGTAGCCAGGGTACCCCAGGAGAATTCCCAGCAGAGGATCCTGGGAGGAGAGGAAATTCTCTGAGCTGTAGGCCTGAGTGGGCACCTGGGCACCGATTCCAAATCAGGGCCTGGAGCCACGAGGCTGCCCCAAAAGACACAGGCCACGAGTGTGGCCTAGAAAAGGGATGGACCCCGGGACCAGGCCAGCTGTCCCCAGTCCCGGACACTCGGCACCCCCGGAGGCGGACAGGCCTGCAGACAGAAGGGGCACTGAGGGCTGCCCCACCCCATCGGCTCACGTCCCCCACGCACTCACCCGTCTTCCGGGCTTCCCTGATGGGCCGGGAGGGCCTTGCACACCTCGGGGACCCTGCCGGGAGAATCAGAGGACGGGATCAGCACACGCCCGCCCTCTTCAGAAGGAGCAAAGCCTGGTCCCCATACTCGCTGGCCCAGCCTGAGGTTCACTGTCCCAGCTGCCAACACGTGGGCATCTTGGGACAGGGCACAGACAGGCTCGCGGCCGAGGGCTGAGGACCACATGGCACAAGTCGGGTAGTTCTGCTCCCATCGCTTGCTTTCCTGAAGAGACGGCCAGAGAGGCACCGCCATTCCCAAGTCCCAAGTCCCCAAGGCCAGTGAACGGGACAGCCCAGCTGAGAGCGGGCGAGGTGCCCACGTACCTGAGGCCCCATATCGCCCGCCTCGCCCTTCAGACCTCCGCTGCCAGGAGGGCCCTGTGGAGACAGTTCGGGATTAGCGTGTGCTGCAGGGAGGGCCCTGGGGCGGGGGACAGGGCCACACACGCTGGCTCACGGTGACCCACGCACTGCTCGACCCGCCCGACTTCAGCAGAGCCAGCGGGCAGGAGGATCAGCAGGTTTCTGGGAGGCAGAACTGCAGCGACCAGGTTCTTCCTGATGTTCCAGGTGACATGAAACTGCGGTACACAGGCCAAGGCCCCTTACAGCCAGCTTGGGACAGTGTGCACCCCAGCCATGGGAGGCCAGCCCGCGTCAGCCCCAGGTGGGGAATGAGCCAGGCCCAGCGGCAGACACAGAGTCAGCGAGAGGCCGTAATGTCAAAATCCTGTTCTCAAAACCTCATGCTCTGGGAGACCCCCGCACTCCTGGGGCCCGAGGGTCCCTATCTCATGCCTCAAGGGCCCCAGGAGAGAGCCAGAGCCAAGCCAAGGCCCCAGCCGGGCAGGGCTGCATGCCCCGGGTTTGTCCCGCACCAGGGTGACCGCAACACTGACACAGGCCCTGAGACACAGGCTCAGACCCGGTCCGTGAGGCAAAGCCACAGCCCAGGCAGCCCCAGTCTTGGCCCCCGGGGATGTCTCCAGCCCCCCGGCCCAGCAGGTCCTGGTCCCTCGAAAGGGGTCAGCCCCACCCACCTGCAGTGTCCCTGTGGTAAGCAGAGGACAGCAGCCCGGAGCGTGTACTCTGCAGGGGGTGCACAGGGCTCCTACCCTCTTGCTCCCCCAGGACCCACCCCAGCAGGACGTGGGTGGGGCTGTTTTCCAGGCACTGAGACCCCCGAGAGGCCTTGAGCCAGAACCTCCCCCCGGACCCTCAGGAGGAGCCAGGGTAGCACCCAGAGGTTGTTCATCCACACCAACCACCCTGTGCCCCACAGCAGGGAGCAGCCCCACCAGGGCCGGCCGGAGACCTGCCAAGGACTCACCATGGGGCCGGGTCTCCCTGTCAAGCCCATCGGGCCCACTGGTCCCCGCAACGCCAGCTGCAGAGGAGAGGGGACACAGTGAGGAATGGCTCCACACAGGCAGGCGCTGACCAGTGAGCTGCAGCCAGGAGGGGATGGGTGGATGGGGCAGAACAGGGACAGAGACTCTGGAAGACAGGGCCAGGTGGTCCTGCAGGGGCCCACTGGCATCACTTCTCTGCAGTGAAACTAGAGCACTGAAGTGGAAGGTGCAGTCACCCCAGGCCGAGCAAGGGGGTGCATTTCCCGTGAGGGTTGAAAAATATTTTATTCCCCCTAGAAGATGCATCAATCCCTCTCCAGTGCCTGGGGGCATTTGGGGTGAGTGAGGAGCCCACGTGGCCCTGGGCTCTCTGTCCCCACCTGATCCTTGGTAGTGGCTCCCCCTGCCACCAGGCAGCTTTAACATGACTTCTGGGAGCCGCTGTCATATGCCTGTGATCCCTCTAATGCCATTTTAATTTTTGAAGATTCTTTCACAGTATAAAACCTCCTTCTAAGCCTGTCACCCCTCGGCTTTGACTGAAATACACATGGATGAAAAGGCCGGCCAGGCAGGCCCAAGTCAATAAATCCAGTCGAAGGTGACGGGCTTGTCAGGCACTGCACTGCATCACCCAGCCAATTTGTTCCGGAGCAACTACTCAATACTTACACTGAGCTGTAATTACCCACGCGCTCCAGTCATTAGCACTGCCCAAGCCGTGCTACAGCACATAAATGTCTGCCAACAAGGAATCACCTGGCAGCTTCCCTGCACACCCCACTGAGGGACAGCCCACTGCCCTGGTCACCCCCAGGCACATTTGCTCCTGGCATGGGCACTCGACAGTCTGGAGCCACATCCTCCAGAAGTGCAGACACAGGCCTGCTTCCCAGCATTCTGGGGGCCCTGAGGCAGGAGCACTGCGAGTTCAACCCAGCCTGGGCAACTTTGTGACTTGGTGGGACACTAGGTGCAGTCCCCAGCACCAGGAAAAGAAAATCGCAGTCCACTGACTGGCCAAGTCCCAGGAAGCAGGGACATCCTCATCTGCTGACCCTGCTCCTCCCCAGGACCCAGGCTCAGAGCGAGGAGTCCTAAGCCTGAGGGCTCTCTGCCCAGCCCCAGGTGCCTGAGTGAGCCACCCAGCCTGATGAGGTTTCTCTGCCCAGCCTGGCTCAGACCTAGGCATCTGCAGGCAGCGGTTCAGAGGCTCACAGCCCTCGCTGTGGACGAGGGACCCATCCCCCAGACTGCCCGTGCTCACGGGGGCCCTCCTCCAACCACACGGTGACCCGGCCATTCCAGCCTTGGGGCCGGGCTCTTCCCCGAGTCCCCCAGGCCCACACCACTCACCCTGGCCTGCTGCAGGATGGCCTGGGCCTGCGACTCCTGGGCGGAGACCATGGGGCCTTTGGCGCCCGCATCCCCACCACCTCCAAAGCGGAACTGTGGGAGGAAGCAGGGGTCACTGGGTATGACGTGGTGCCCGCCTGGACCCCAGGGCAAGGCAGGCCCACAGGCCTCTGAGGTGACACAGCGCCCCGACCCACACTCACCTTGCCTGCCCATTTCAGCCCCAGGGACACCCGAGCCCCGCCCTGCATCCCGGCAGCCCTTTCTGGCCTCCACAGTGAGAGCCCACGACCCTGGTGACTGCCAATGAACACGGCCTGGCAAGGGCACCCCGGTTCCACACTGGTCTCCCCCCATGTGACACGCACTCGGGGGCTGAGGAGAGAGGTTCTGTATCCAGGGACCCAGGAAAAGAGCCTACAGGAAGAGGCATCCCTGCCTTCTCTTCCCACACCGACGACTAGCCGGCCCCAGCCTCGCCCTGCACCACCTCAGCCTCTGGCCCCTTCCCTCTCCTGGTACAGAAACTGCTCCGGGCAGTGGCTGGCCCAGTGGGTGACACAGTGTCCAAGGAGATAAGGAGACTTGCTCCCAGAAACACAACCTGTCCTCACATTCAGGCCTCTGCCCAGCCCCGGACGTGCACACTCACCGGCAGCATCAGCATGGTTCCCGGGGGGCCGGGCAGGCCATCGGCCCCAGGAAGGCCGGGCCGACCAGGGGGACCCTGGGGACAGAGAGAAGTCAGCAGTCAGAGCAGGACAGGGACCGAGCCAGGCTGCAGTGAGGAGGAAGCACCGAGGAACAGCCCAACCGGAAACAGAAAGGACCACACAAGGCCCCAGGTCAGGATGTCCTGAAAGCCCAGCCCACGGAAGGGCAAGGCGAGGCAAGGCTGTGTGCCAAGTCAGGGGAGTGATAGGAAGGAGGGATGAGCAGGCAGATCACAGAGCTCACAGAGGGGCGCGGGGCTCCTGTCACCAGGCGTGCCTGTCCACGGCTCCACACCGAACGGGAACACAAGCTCCAGGCTCCGGGCCCAGTGCTCATCCTTGGTCTGGCCCAGCTGTGCGCATGGCCGCCGGGACAGGAGACAGAAAGGGTGCACCCTCTCGCTTAGGTGGGCATCGGGACAGGAAGCCCTCCCAGCAACTTCGAGTGCCCATGTGTTCAGGGAAGGCCAGGGCTCTCCCCAGACCATCAACCTGGTCTCTATGCCAGGGCCAGGACGCCAGGCTCTGAGGGTTTCCAGCCTCAGGATGACGGGAACCCAGAGTGACTGAGCTGCTGCACTTCACACGAGTCCAATCACACAGCTTGTCATCAGGCCGGGTGCTGGCTCAAGGGGGATGAGGCCACTCTGCACCTCAATGCCTCTGAACCCCTCCCCAGGACCACACCCAGTGTAACGCGCAGGTGTTGGTGTCAGGGCTACACAGGGTCCTGTGTGCGGCACGCTCCAGCGGGGAAAGGAAAACTCCAAGCCTTCCGGATCTAGCAAGTGGCGGGTAGAACCACCTGGGCCTGACACCAAGTCTTGGCTGCTTTCCTACATCAGATGTTTTGGCTGCATGAGTTACCCGAGCTCTTGTGAGATGTATGGGAGCTACACAGACTTCCAGAGTGAGCAGAGATCCGCCCCTTCCTCCTGCAGGAGTCTCCAGTGCTACCATCCGTGGGAGAGGAGAGAAAGAGGCAGAAACAGACCAGCATGCATGTCTGACACACCCGCCGTGGGCTGGAGAGGCATCCTCCTCCTCTGCCGGGGGGGCTGTCCGAACATCACCTCCTTCCCAGCCAACCATCCTTACGGTCCCAGGCACAGGCCGCAGCCTTCGCGTGACCCGTCCTCGACTGGGGACAAATGCTGCCGTGACGAATGCTCGGCAGACATCTGCTAGGCAGGTCCTTAGGGACAGAGCCGCTGGCCCAAGGCTGGATTTCTCTGCTAACGGGTGCTGCCAAAAGGCCCTTGGCTGCCATTTTGGAAAAAAATTCTCAGAAACCAAAAAAGAAAAAAATAAATAAAAAGATCCAGGGCTTGGAGGCTGGCTCTGGGTGGTAGGGCACTTGCCTAGCACATGCAAGGCTCTGGATGGCACCCCCAGCACTGCATGCACACTCGCACACATGCACACGTTCACACTCACACAGAGCATGTTTTGTAGGCCAGGGTTTCCCTGGGAAACTGAACGCTCACAGCTGCATGGGAACTGATCACACGCCAAACTCCCCTCTAAAACTTGAGGTTCCTATCTCCCAGGAAAGAGACGCTGCCTGTGCAGAATGTGTTTGCATGCATGCGCGTGTGAATGTGTCTGCATGCACGCATGTGCGTGTGTGTACACATGGGCTTGTATGTCCTGCATGCCTGGTGTATTATGTGCTCCGGTGTGCACACGCTCTCTGGTTTGCACACATGGCGCTGGCCGCCAGGGAGCACGCTGAGGGTGCCCTCGCCCACCCTGTCCATTTCCAGACACCCGGCTGCCCACGCTCCCCTCCCTGCCCCTCACAAGCCACAGGGGAGAAGGCCAACTTCAGCACTGCACCAGCGGTTTCGCTTCGGGAGGGACATTTCCTCCCATCCACAGCCAGAAGACTCCAGGGACTGGGAGCTGGTGCAGGGGAGCCTCGAGGACAAGGGCGGGTGAAAGCCCACAGCCTGGATGGCCATGTGGGAACAAGGAGCCTACCTGTGGCTTGTTGGTCATTTCTACCCCTAACCCCACGAGCACCCCAAAAGTCCCACAGTGGGGTCTGGCAGCACAAATGTCCCCAGACCCGGACTTGTGGTTTTTGCCAATCGGTCCCTTACAAATCTCTGCAGGTATTCTCACTCCACCTCTCTCTCTGAGACCCGCCTTTCTTTGCTATACCAAGTTACACACTCCATCGGGTCCACTTCCTGTTCCATACATGGTGGGAAGCCCACTTCCCACTGGCCTTCTGAAAGGGCATGCAGTGCTGGACATGAGCCTACCAGTGGCCTCAGGAGACAAAGCTGTGCCGGTGAATGTGATGGGAAATGGCCAGGAGTCCTGGAGACCAGGCTGCTGGGACAGTGGCACGTGAGTCCTGCAGCCCTCCTCGCTGCAGGCAACATACTGGAATTACCCGGACTGTGTGTGCATGTGTGTGCTGTTTGTGCATACACATGCATGTGTGTTTGTATGTGAGCACAGGTGCACACATTCATTTGTGTGTGGCAGTGTATGTGCATGCACATGTGAGGTGTGTGCGTGTATATATGTATATTGGTGTGCATGTACGTGCACGGGTATAAGTGTGTCCATGTGTGCATATGAGCTTGTATGAGGGTCTGCTCGTGCATGTGTATGTGAGTGTCCTTGTGTGTGCATGTGAGCTTACGTGTCAGCCTCTGGCACACTCTGTGACACCCTGACCATGTCTGAGTTCAGAGACTGTGCTTCGGGCAGGGGAAGCTGCTCCACACCCCAGAGGGATGGGCACTGCCACTGTCCACTCACTGGGAAAGGGTGTGCGTGCCTCTGTAAGATGCACAGCCTCAAAAATGTGAGACCCGTCAGTCCAGGGTACCCTATAAAGTCAGGAACCCGGGGGACGCTCTGCCGAGGGGCACAACAGCCAGCCTGGAGGAAGAGGTGCTGGGCAAGATGACTGCCACCAGCCCAGGGAATTCGAGGCTCCCTATGCTTTTTCTCCTGTGCCTCAGCATCAGGTGGGGGCCTCCCAATCTATGCACAAGAGATCTGGGTCACCCCAGCTCCGGCTGCACCCCACCCCTGCACAGCACCTGCTCCTCTGCCAAAGAGGGAGGCAGGTGGCGATGGCCCACTCCATCTCAACCCAGTCACACAGGGCCGGAGGACATGTGAGCTGAGGGCAGGTCTGAGAGTGCAGCCCAGCAGACACGGAGGGCTGGGGCTGCGGTGGGCGGGCCAGGACAGAGTGAACCTGCCGAAGCGATATCAGCCAGCGCACTGTGTGGCCGCTCACAGCCACCACCCACGGCTGCCCAGGGTGCCCACCCGGTGCAAGGAAGGGGCTGTGAGGAAGGGCACAGATAGAGCCTGTCTTAAGGAACCCACTTCTTAGAGGAAGAAAAGGGCCCAACAAGCCATGGCCGGATGGCCAGATTTCCTTAGCAGAGGCCCTGGGGAGAAGGCACACTGGTAGGGCTGGAGCAGCGGGCAGATGGCAGGGTGTGGAGCCTCCCAGGCAGCCAGGCAGACGAGAGCAGGCGGAGGGGGAGGGAGGAGGGGGCGGCGCAGTGGCCCGCATTCCCACCGCCTGCCTCAAAGCAGAGCGCAAACTTCCTGTCTGAAGGTGGCATTAAGCCCGTCCCCACACCAGGCCGGGGCCAGCAGCTTCGAGCACCAAGACCAACCTGGCCCTGAGTGTGCAAGGGCAGAGCTTACCTCCTGCTGGCCTCCCAGTCACTGCCCCCAGCTGGCATCCCCAAGGCCCTGCCCTTTGTCTAGTTGCGTGTCCACCTGTGCTGTCTGCGTGACGGTGGTACACGAGCTCCTGGCCAGTCTCTTCTTTGCACTTCACTTCTCACACAGAATTGAGCACACTCCTGCCTTTGCTCCTGTTGATCTGCTGTTTGTCCTCTGAACTCGTAGGCCTGGGACACTGAACCTTATGGGCTACAGGGGAACTTTCTCTGCCACAACACAGGGATTCTGAGCCACACACACACACACACACACACACACACACACACACAGCTCCATGGCCAGAGCTCCCTCAAGGTAACAGACACCCACCAAGACCTGGTACTGAGAGGATGCAGAGCTGTGGGCACAGGTGACTTTCTGAACCAGGCCTGCCTGAGCACGGAGCCACACTGGGCCCTGGGATCAGCGCCCTCCACCCAGAAGCGTCCCGGAGGCAGCTCCAAGGACTGCAGACTCTGGAGGTGCTGGCTTCTCTGCCCTCCCAAGCCCTGTCCCCATGCTCCCGGGGACCTGAGCTGGATCTAAGGGGGATGAGGGGCTGGGACCCACGGCACTCCACTGTCGGAGACTGGGTCCCCCCACAGAGCCCCGGGCCAGGCTGCCCAGCTCTCACTCAAAAGCAGGGGGTGAGTGGAAAAAGGCAACCCCGCTCACAGCCAGGTAGGCCTGCAGAGCCCAGCTGGCACCCATGGGGGCACTTAGGGGAGGCCTGTCTATGTGACAAGCAGGTGGAGAGACAGACACTTGGAGCAACACTGAGGCTGACAAGGGACATCAGTCCCTACTGCCCTCCCCTACCGCTGAAGGAGAAATGTCTCCTGATGTCACTGCTTTGGCTTCTAGCTAGTTGCCCCCGGCCCCAAAACCTCATGTGCTCATAGGCGGGGCTTTGGGGAGTGACTGGATCAGGGTGTGTGGCACTGGATTGGTCCACTGATTAGTTTAGCATAGTTCTGGGTGTGGATGGCAGACTTACTAAAAAGAAAGACCCACCCTGGGTGTGGGTGGCACCAACCAACAGGCTTATATCCTGGATGGAATGAAGAAGGGAAAGAAGAAGGAAGGCTCGCTGCCTCCTGCCTGCCCTTCCATGGGCTGTTTCTCCTCTGCGATGCCCCTCTGCTGGGCCACCCTGCCTTGGACCCAGCTGACTATGGACTGAAACCTCCACAAACCATGAGCTAAGTAAATCTTTCCTCCTTTAATTTGTAGGTGTCGGGTATTTTGTCCCAGCAATGAGAAAAGAAACTAAGACTGGCATACTCATGGGGCTCTGGGGACAGGACTTGGCCACTTCTCTGTCTTGGTTGGATATGTGGGGATGGGGTTGCTGAGGGGGCTGGGTGGGTGCAGGCCCCACTGTGAATGTCCTGCTCGCCCAGGGCTGGTGAGGACTGTGGCAGCAGAGCCAGGGAAGCCGGGGGAAGCTGGGGGAAGCCTCAGAGGTTGGCAAGGCACTGCCTCCTGCTGTGTCCTTTCCCAGAGGGAGAGCCCACCGCCCGGAACCCCAGTCCCCGACCACGAGGAACAGCGTGTGGGGAAGCTCACGTCGCCTTCCCACGCGGCCGGACCAGCCATCAGCCCACCACCCACATACCCAACAGGTCCTCACTGCCCCAGACAGAGTGCCAGGTACTGCGGACAAACACCTGCCATCTCCCCCCACCACCGTGTTCCCCTCTGGGCTCTTAGTCCTGCAGTCGCACAGTGGTCATTAACCAGCAGCAAAAACCGAAAAGTGAAGGAAAAGGAAAGCAGATGAGCCAGAGAACCCAGAGGCGGCAGGGCTCCAACGCGCCACCAGGTGTCAGGGGGACCTGGAGCAGCCTCGCCCAGGCTCCGCTGGGTCGGGGCAGGAGGGGCCAGGACAGGGAACACGGAAACAGTCCCAGGGCACACAGCCCACCCTCTTACCCTCTCTCCAGGGTCGCCCACTTGGCCAGTGGGACCCGTAGTTCCTGGAGGTCCTGGAAGACCCTGGAATTAAAACGAATCAAGACAGGATTACAGAGATGCCCACAGGTGCAGCTAAGCAGGGGAAGGGCAAAGGCGGGCAGGGGACATGCTGGACCAGACGGCAACCCCTTCCCCTTCCCACCAGGTGGTTCGGTGGTGCCCCCCAGGACCTCCCCTGACACTCACAGCAGGTCCTTCCGGGCCAGGTGGCCCCTCGATGAGCATCCCCTGTGGAGACAGACAGCTCTGAGAACACAGGACCCAGGGCCCGGGCCCCAGACAATAGGAAAAGAGGGAAAAGAGCAATCGAGGCCGCCGAGGGAAACCGAGGCTCTGGACTCTATTGGAGGGTGCATGGCGCCCACAAGCCTGGCTTGCTTCTGAACACAGAAAGGACTCGCCCAGGCTGGGGAGGGGCCACTCCAGTGACCAGTGGGAACCCCCAGCCTCCCCCACCCGGCCCCCAGGGTTCCCCTTGCTGGGAAGGCGTGCACTGTTTACACAGATGTGTGCAAGGAAGCACCGGAGCGTTGGTCCAGGGCCCCTAATCCCAGCTTCCGGCTCCCCGCCTGGCCGAGCAGCGGGCAGCCTCAGTCACTGAGCAGGGATTAAGTGGGACAACACTGGCCACGGCTGCCTTCCCGGACACACACACTGTGTTCTGGGGAGCCAGGGCCAGGCCGGCTGGGACCTCACGGGAGGTCAAGCCTAGACCATTCCAGGTCAGTGTGGAAAGGAAGCAGGAACGGAGGGACAGGAAGGCGAGCCCGGTGGAGGGAAGCCCCGTGCCCCTGCAGCCCTGGGCTGTACCCCGCCCACCCTGCCACTGATCCCCAAGTCCACTGGGGAGGCACCATAGGGGGAGGCCCATGCTAGCTGCTGATGGGGCACTGGGTATCGGCAATTGGACTTTAGTTCTTCTTCCACCAACACACGGCAAAGAGAAATGAGCGTGTGAGATGGAACTGTCGCTAATTTGCTTGTCTACAGTAACTGCTTCACGGTGTATGTGTACATCAAGATAAGAACAAAATATAACGTTATCTTGTCACCTTATAGATGCACACTTTAAAAACACTGAGAAAATAAAAATCTCAGACTTTGCTGGACTCAAAGCAACTCTTACTTGAGGTAAACACCCTACATACAAATTAAAAACAATAAACAGCAAAGGTGGAGTGGAGGTCTGGAGGCTCATGGATGCTCTCAGGGGAAGAAGCCCTTGCTGGGGACTTCCTGCTCCCCATGGGTCAATCTGACCTCTTTCTGTGAAGCGGATTCTCATCCTTTTGTGGAGTCTCTGGTCTTGGTAACAAGTCAGAGGGGGCTGGGAAGGACAGTGAGACAGCAGCCCTGTCCCTCATCCATGGCTCTGGGGGCAGAATTTGCAGTGGACTGCATCTCCCACGAGATCACAGGAGAGGGGACATCAGCCACCCTGCCTGGAGCAGGCTCCCGGGACCAGGCCATCTGCTATGTGCAGCTCAGACTCTGAGCACATCTGGCGACACTCCGGTTGAGAGATTCCAGCTGGTCACATGATCTCCCAGGCGGACTGGCCAAAGACCGGATGGACGCTCCAAAGGGGCTGGGAGCTGGGAGGAGGCGGACGCCGGGGAGGGGAGGGGTCCTTCCCTAGCTGCCTCCACATGGCCTCTGACCCCAGCGAGGACAAGATGGATGCTCAAGAGCACTTGTGCTGGCCCAGGCTGCCCCCACTTCCTGGTGTGCTGTGCTCGGGCCCACACTGGCCGCTCCACACCCTCCTCACTCTCAGAGCCGGGAGCCCACGTCCACATTCAGTCAGCTCCCACAAGGCTTCTCCAAAGTGCCAGCCTGGCCCCGCTCTGACTCCCAGAAGGAGGGGACCAAACCGAGGACCCCACAGAGCCTCGGCACCTGTTATTTCCTAGGATCCCACTTTCTTCCCCGGCAAGACACCACTTTCCCCAAAGCAAGGAGGATGTCGTGAAAGGAGCCCCAAGCCAGCCTCTAGTCTGCCACCATGTGGTGGGCGGTGCTGCAGAAAGGCCCAGCGCCCAAGGGAGACAAGCAGGGCTGGAGCAGAGAGGCCACTCCGCTGCGGACATTTCCAGGCAGGCCCTGGACACGTGCCCCGCTGCCATGCTCCCGGGGACTGAGTCCACCCTGCCCAGGGTCGCCCTTCCCTGCGTGTGGACTTGGGGCTGAGGGTCACCACGGGGCCGGACAAGAGACCCCTGGAGGTGGCCGTAGCCTTGAACCTCCACAGCCCTGTCCCACACGCCCTGGCTCTCGGCCCACAGAGAGCTCTGGAAAGGGGCCCCTGGTCATAGAGGGTGCAGATTCAGTACTCACAGCCCACAGGGACAGGTCCCAGCCCTGTCAAGGACCACGGCAGGGGCTCCCCCAGTCCTGTCCCAGAATTCCACACAGAGGACAGGTCCAGCCTGCCCTGGCCACAGGCTTCCCACAGCTCACAAGGAGACAAGGGCTTGGGCACACCATCCACCCAGGTTCCTAAGAACTTTCCCCTCTGGCAGGAGGGCGAGGCCACTGCCATTGCTTCTCCATCCCCAGCTCTGAAGCTACGAGGTGGACCCCGGAGCTCCCAACCGCCCCACAGAACCAGTGAGAAGGGCGGCCCAGCCCGGGGCAACAGACTCGCAGATGCTCCTGTGAGCTTCCCCGTGAGCTTCCATGGCTGAGCTTCCGTGGCCTTTCCCAGCATCCCACTGCCTGACACTGTGGCATCTAAGGGTATTGATCCATGCAGCTCAACCACGCTCCACACCACCCCCCAGGCGGCCCTCCAGAGCCTTGCTGATAAGCAGGGTGAGGGTCCACAAGGCTGCAGCTTGGCATGGCCCCCAGATCCAGCCACACCCGCCATGACCCACCGCATGTCCCCAGCAGCGAACATGACAAGACCTAGCCAGAGACTGGACAGGAACGCATCCTTACTGGCTCAATGATGGCCGGCTCTCCCTTCTGACCTTTCTCACCCCGGGGTCCTCCGATCTGAGGTGGGAAAAGCAGAGAAAGTCCAGGTTACACCGCGTCGGCCCATCCCAGCCCATCAGGGGTGCTCCTCCCTGTGGGACACCTCCCCCAGGCCTTGAAGAACCAAGCTAGAGGCGACCCTGAGGTCAGACTGAGGCCAGAGGGCATGCAAGCCTCAGGGACATCACCACCCATGCACAAGTTGCTCAGGGTCACTGCCTCGGCACCTGAAAGTGCTTTAAAGACCACAGCCATGGAGTCAGCTGGTGCCACTTCCGGGGCTCCTGGGCTGCCCCCGCCCTGGCCACCCTGCCCAGCCTGCCCAAATCAGAGCCTGAGCCTCTCACCCCTTCGTAGATGGTGTCCTGGTTCGCAGGCATGCCTGGCCCAATCTCCGATGGGGAGCCATTGGAGTCAGGATCAAAGTAAGGGTCGTAGTAGTTCTCATCCAGGTTCTTGAGGGTTTCCTCTGCGAACCCGCCCTCCAGGTCATCCTTCCCTTCCCCTGGAGACAGAGCTGGCTGCAGAGAGACAGAGGGAGTGGCAGGGCCACCCAGGCAGAGGCCACCTCTCTGCCGCTGTGGGCACCAGACACCCTCCCCAGACCTGAAGGCCAGCCACCTCGCACCCACAAGGCAGCCTGTCGGGAAGGGGCCCTCGGCCACCGGAAGCCCCTCTATGCCTCCTCCCAGTCCTCTGGGAACCCCCCGAAGTGTGGTGCCAAGCGAGCAGACCCAGACGTGGCCTCACAGCTGTGCCCTCTCCGGGGAGGTCTGCATCAGGTGGCGCTCAGCCTGGGGCCAGGGTCTCGGGCCAGGGTTTGAACCCTGGGACTGCAGGTCCGCTCTGGCAGTCAAGGAGTGGGCCCCACACAGGGCTGTGATGAGTGTCTGCTCTGAGCCCCACCGGGTGAGGCTCCTCTCTTAGCTGAAAACCACAGTGCCCCTGGGAGGCAGCTTTCCCGGTGCCACACGGCCTAGGAGACCCCAAGCTCCAAAGGTCACAGGCCGGGATTTCAAGCCAGTCTGCCCAGGGTCCTCACTGGTGCTGCCCAGCCTCCCAAGTACCTGCCCTTGTCGGGTCCCACACCCCAGCACAGGTGGGGACCCTGCAAGCAGGCACCGCCTCATCTGTCCCCGCCTGATCCCTGGGCCTCCAGGGCCAGGTCATTCTGCCCACTTGCAGGTGACAAATTTGCCACACTGAGAGCCACTCAGCAAGGGAGGGCTCCCGAAGCAGGCCCAGCCATGGCACTTCCAGGGCACTGAAAAGAGCCCCCCGCAAAGGCCCAAGAGCTGCGGTGCGGTGGCCACCCAAGGACACACCAGGTAAGAGGCAGGGCCAGGAGGGGAGCTCGGGGTCCTGACTCCCTGCCATGGCCTTGTCCCCCGGGCTAAGCCATGTAGAAAGGAAGGCAATTACGTTGGAAACGTTGGAGGCCACCGTGGTGCTGGTGGGGACTTCGGGCCCCGAGTTGGGGTCAGTGGGCTGCTCAGGGTTCTCAAGGCCCTCGCCGTAACTGAGGTCCTCGTACGGGGAGGGTGTGTAGTAGTCGTCGATGGGCACGTACTCGTAGTCCCCGATGCCTGGGTCCTCCTCCCCGCCAGCCTGCTCACTGGTCTCGGGCACCAAATCAGGCACCGTAGGGGCTGCCGTGGGGGGCGGGGTCAGCTCCTAGAAGCCGAGGGTGGAGAGGCAGAGTCAGGGCACCCCACCCAGGATGCCCCACGTGCTCCAGCCTGAAGGTCTCTGCACACAGGGTGGGTGCCACAGCCCGGGCAGGCATCCAGCAGAGGCCTGTGGACTCGGGGTGCAGGGGCCCCTTGGTCCCTGGGGAGGAAGGCAGCCTGGGGCAGACTGAGAACCAGCAGGTCACACCTGGGAGACGGAAGCCAGTTACGGAAGTCACAGAGCAGCAGAACATCCGGACCATGAGAGCAACACAGGGCCAGGTCGTGCCACCCTGGACTCCCCACACTCATCCACATGCTCACACGCCTGGGGCCGGATGAGAATGTAAACACCGCCAAGTACACACACAGACACACACCACGCACACCACACACACACCCCCAGCGCCTGCGCACTCCTGTGCACGGCTGACACAGCCCTCACGGGTCTCACTGCGGCCTCGTGTCCAGGTAAAGAGGTGGCCATGCAGATGGGGATCTGCACGAGCCTCACACGGCACTGTGACCCAGAGGACGAGACCCAAGCTCGCTCACCGTGGCGTCTGCCCAAGGCCACGCGGCAGGTGGATGCAGAGGGGCCCAGTGGCCGGCCACACCCGTCTCCAGATGTCCCTTCCGCAGTGGCTAAGCCTCGGCCCCGCAAGCACAAGGTATGGTCGGTCCTGCCCCTGCCAACCGCTGTCTCAGCCTCCCTGGCCCTCGTCCTGCCCTGCTCCCGGCCCCGTCCCAGCCCCAGCTCCGCCTGGACCTCAGGAATCTCCGTGGTTTCTCTCGCAGCTTCCACCGGCGTTTTGGTCGGGGCAGGCTCCTTCCCCATGTCGTCCGAGTCCTCATAGTAGGGGTACTCGTAGTAATAGGTCTCACCATCGCCCTCTCCATCTGGGTACTAAAAGCAAGCAGGGCCCGTGAGGCTGGGGGACACATGGGGACCCCAGCCCGCCAAGCCCGCACCCCTCAGCTCGAGGCCCCTGCCTGCACCGCCCCGGGGGCCCTGGGTCTGGTTCTTCCCCTGCAGCACCGTGCGAAGCTGGGCTGAAGGACCTCCAGCCCTGGGGCAGAAGCCAGAGAAAGCCAGACCCTAAAAGGTGGTCACTTCTGAGCCTGTAGGGCCCAGGGCAGGACATGACCTGGCAAGCCCCCAGCCTTCCACCCAAACCCCGAATCCCCTTCCCGGCACGGACGTGTGTGTCCCCTTGAGACCTGGGCCTGGCCTGGCCAGCAGGGGCTCCATCCAGCCCCGCTCCTGGGACTCACGGGGCTCATGGGCACAGCCAGGGCCACAGGACACAGCTTCGTGAAAGCCACCCGCCCACTCTGAGCGGTGAAGAGAAAGGGAGGACTACAGAGCAGGCTGCAGTACGACTTAAAGAGCCGAGAGTCAGCTGGACGGGGTGGGGACTCACTTGGGGCCCCCAGAGAGAAGGCGGATCAAGTACACAAGGTGGCACCGGGGCCCAGAGACAGTGGGGGAGGAGGAAGGGGGACCAGGGCTGCAGCAAGAGACACTCGGGCCAAGCCTGTCCTTCAGTGCCCAGTCCTAAGTGGCAACCATCTGTAAGCTTCAGACACCCGGCCAGCAGCAGAGGCCCCAAGGGCCCTGTGGTGGCTCTGCTCACAAAGCCCCACTGAGGCCATAGCCCGGGGGCAGCCAGGGTACCCGGCAGAGCTGTCTACGGACTTGCTTGGCACGTTATGGGGCAGGGTCACCAGTATTCCCTGGGTGGGTCCGCCACTCTAGGGAGCACGATTTGGTAAAGCAAGGCACGTATCCCAGCTTCTCTCCAGAATCCATTCACTTCCTCGCCCCATGGGTTCACGAAAAATGGGACCCCCAGCTGTTCTTCCACAAGCATCCTTCCCACCTGAGCCCCGTCCCAAGGGCATGCCCCCCACGTTGAACCCGGCCAGAGCTGACTCACGTATTCATCTAGGTTGGGGTCCTGCGACTGCGGAGTGTCGGGGGCCGCGGTGTCACAGTCGGGACTGTAGTGCTCACAGTAATCATAAGCTGCCCGGTGGTCTGAGACGAAGAGCAACTGCTGGATGTCACCCTGGAGAGGCACAAAAGCTGATGAGCAAACAGCACCAGGTGCTCACATGGGGCCTGAGAGGCCCAGCCTTGGGGCAGAGAGCAGCTCAGGACACGTCTCAAGAAGAGCGCATCTTCAGGACCAAGGCTCCTCCCATCTGTTCACCCACCCACCCATCCACCCATCTATCCATCCCTCTACCCACCACCCAGCCAGCCAGCCATTCCTCTGTTCACCGACTAATCCATCCGTCTATCCCTCTGCCCACCCACCACCCACCTATCCACCCACACATTCAACCATGCATCCACCCACCCATCCATCCATCCACTGTCCATCCACCTATCCATCCATCCATCCATCCACTACCCACCTACCTAATCATCCATCTATTCATCTATCTATCCAACCAATTACCCACCCATCAACCCATCCATCCACCCACCGATCCATCCATCCTTCCACCCATCCATCCATCCACTCACCCACCCACCTACCCACCCATCCATCCGTCCATCCATCCACTCACCCACCCACTCATCCATCATCTAGCACTTGTTGAACACCTCCTATCAGGAGGACAGGACACAACTAGACAGTATGAGGGAGGATGTGGACACTGACAGGTTCTAGGTCATGGTTGGATGCATGGGTAGTGGGTGAATAGGTGGAAAAATGAATGGATGGGTGGGTAAGTGGATAGGTGGGTGCATGAGTGGATGATAGAAGGATAACTGGATGGATGGATAGATGGATGGATGCTGTTATGGGTTTGTATCTAGATGTCCCCCAAAGCCTCGGGCAGTCATAGGTGAGGATTTAGGGAGGTGGTCGGATCTAGGGTGTGTGATGCTGGGATTAAGGGTGCCTCACTCTGGGTGTGAATACTACCCACCCTAAGGGCGGGTAACCTGGATAGAATATAAGGGACAGAAAGAAGGCTACTGCCACTGCTGCTGCTGCCTGCCTGCTTGCCCTGCAATGGACTGTTTCTCCTCTGTGATGACCCTCTGCCATGCCACCTGCCTTGGAGCCAGCTGACGATGGACTGAAACCTCTACAAACTGTGAGCTGAATAAACCTCTCCTCCTTTAACTTGTGGGTGTCAGGTATTTTGTCTCCGTAACAGAAAAGTAACCAAGACAGAGGGGTAGACAGAGGGCACAGTACCTGTCTGCCTGCGTGACTGTCACGTCAGGTGGACAGATGAGGAGATGGGCTCAGACGTGAGAGCCCTGGCCAGTGGCAGCGCCTCAGAGCAGTGCCGAGTGCTCCTGTTGGCCAGCAAGCTCATCACTGCCCTTCTGGCCCCACATCTCAGAATGGAAAACTCCTCCAGGCCACAGGAAGCTGAGACTGAATGATGTTCTTCCCTCCGGGAAGCAGCTGAGCAGGGCAGGGAGCCTCCCGGTTAGCAAGGTACCCACTGCCTCATCTCAGACTCAGGGAGCTGCGGCCCCCAGTGTCAGCCCACATCACAGACTACACTGCCCCCCACCCCTGGCCACTGTCTCCACAGCAGAAGGGCAGCAGAGCAGGAGAAGCAGGTGTGGGGGCACCCATGGGAGCAGAGCTCACTCCGGACCCAGGCAGGGGCATCTGCCAGCTGGGGTGCAGGGGCTAGGGCAGAGGTTCCTTTCCTTGCTCCAAACAGGCCCAGGCCACACCACGAGGGCTGTGGGGGACAGGGGACAGAGAGTGACTGCAGAAAGTGGCCTGCATCTGAAACTCTCTGGCAGACAAGAGCTGTAGGACAAGAACAGTGAATCAAAACTACACACTTTCATTAAGCAACATGACTTCTAGTTCAAATTTCATCCAATTCAAATAAAATATCTTCTCTCCCAACTGGCAGTTTGGCATCTAAATATATGTTCTCCAGCACACTGGGAGGAAGAGAAGCCAGGGGGTGGCTGCCAACACTGGGGCTCCCCACATCTGGCAGCCAGTGGCCCTAGTCTGTTAAAGGCTCTGCCTCTGGGGCACCCCAAGCTCCCCGGGCCAGTGTCTGCACCCTCATACCCCACCACAGTGGCGCACCCCAAAGTCCTGTGTGCAGGCAGGGGGCCAGACACCCGACAACGACAGTCCCACGGCCGGCCACAAACCCACGCATTGGCACAGAGGCCCACATTCCCACGTCCCACCCAGCCCTGGAAGCCCCAGACCCAGCCTCAGGCAGCCCTGCTCCCAGCCTGAGCGTGGACATGCAGTCGGCCAGCCCAGCCCAGGCTGGATGCTTCCTTCCCAGCACCACCCTCCTGCAAATGTCTGCCCTGGTCTAAAGCCGCCACCCGCCCGGTTGCACCAAATCCTCCAGTGCATTTCCTCACCAGGAAATGAACCTGTCTGCCCCACGGGCACATCTGTCAGGGCATGGAGCAGGGGAAACTGAGGCACAGGTGCTAAGGTTGGTGCTGAGTCCTGCAGGAGCTGGGCCCGCTCTAGATCAGCTCCTGGTCCAGGGTGCCTCCCAGACCACCCACCACTTCCTCCCCCTACTCTGAAGTGTGAGGCAGGGGCGCTTGAAAATGCAGGAGCCCAGGGGCGCTGAGCAGCAGGGAGCGTTCGCAGAGCCCAGGGTAGGCACTGCTGCCCCCACAGCTGTGTGCGCCAGGCTTCTTGGGTGAGGACTGGGCCTGAGACTGCCATGACCTCTGCACCCCCGTGTCCCCACAGCAGACCCTGTGAGGACTGAGAGGAGGAGAAGCCCACCCTGCGCTCCAGTGAGACCCGCCTCTGCCTGCTCAACAGGGCCACACGGTCAAGACCAAGCCCGAGAGCCAGGTGCACGGGACCCTGGCTCTCCCCTCGGTGGATCCAACTGTTCCAGGAGGGCACAGAGGGTAGCAGGATCCCACAGCAATCATGGGGTGCCACGGGGGTGGCCAGGGCAGCCCCATTGGAGAGACATGAAGGGCAGGGGGCGGCCCAGACTGGGTGCAGCTGGTACTGTGCTCAGTGCCTCCCAAGTCCCAGGGCCCACGTCCATCACTGACCCAGCAGAAAGCACGAGGGGTGGAGGGCAGAGAGCAGGTCTGTCCCCCGCCACACACCAGCTCCACCCAGCGGTGACGCAGCACAGCCCGGTCCCAGAGACCAGTGAGACCGATCGGGAGCACCTGTGAGCAGTGGATGGGACTGTACCTCCCTGTCCCCTGCCCCAGGGCACCAGAGATCCCTCCCACAACCTTCTGCCAGCTGCTTCTCTCCAGGGCGAGGGGCCGTGGAGACCGTGGGCCCTGCCACCGGCCACCCCAGCGCCACTCCAGGGTCTCCACGAAGCATGGCAGCTTCCCTCCCCACAGAGAAGCCCGCCCTGTCTCCATCTTCAAGCCCCTCCCGTGAGACCCTCACAGTCCTTCTCAGAGGGCTTCCGGCAGCCAGGACCCCAAGACCTGGGATGGTGGGCACCCCGGCAAGCCTCATCAGGGGCAAACAACCTTTCCAAGGTTAAACTAACAACCAGAGCGCTGTGCTTTCACAGGGAGGATTCTCATGACGCCCCATGTGACACAGGGCCAAGCTCAAACCCCAGCCCCGGGACTCCCGCAGGGACTCCTCACAGCACCTGCTATACACAGGGCCTGGTCTGGGAAGGGCCAGCTGCCCAGTGTGGGCACACGCACAGCAGCCTGGTCCCCAGGCCCTGCCTAGCACTGCACATCACTGTGCCTGCTGCACACATCCCAGGCCTGGCCAGGGGAGATGGAGACCCCAGCTGCCCGGAGCCTCACTCCTTCCCCACACTCCGAATCCCTACAGCTGTGCCCAGCCTCCTCCACACCAGCTCTTTGCCCTGGAGAAGCAAAGGCCAACCTGCCCTGCTTCGCTGCCCCTGCCCAAGGAGATTCGGATGCAAGAGTCTCATCACTCCCCACCCACACCCTCAGCCCACCTGACTCTGGCTTTTACTTTATTTGCATTTTAAAACAGGGTCTCACTAAGTTGCTAAGTTGGCCAGGCTCAAACTTATGAACCTCCTGCCTCAGCCTCCCAGAGTACTGTGATGACAGGTGGATACCACCACACCTGGCTGTTCTCTGGGTTCTTTCTCCAGCCCTCCCTCCTGCAGAGCCACATGTCCCCCAAACTTGCAGGCCAAGCAGCAGGATCTGGTGTTGCCTGGAGTGTGTGCATGTATGTGTATTGTGGTGTGTGCACATGTGTATGCGTGCATGCGTATGTCTAATATGGTGTGTGCCTGCATGTGCATTTGTATGTGCTGTGTAGGCACACATGTGTTTGCATGTGTGTGCATGTGTGACTGGTGTGTGCATGCATGTGTGTTCCTATGTGCACATGTATGTGTGGTGTGTGCATGCATTTATGTGTGCTGTGCAGACACACTGTGCATGCATGTGGTGTGTGCATGTGTGTCCATTCATGTGTATGTCTGGTCCAGTGCATGCGTTTGTGTGTGTCATGTACGCCCATGTGTAGTGTGTGGGTATGCACCCATGCGTGTGCATGCAGGTGTGTTCACATGTGCGTCTGTGTGTGCCTGTATATCTGGTGTGGTATGTGCGTGGGTTTGCATCTGTGGCTGCATATGTGTCTATTGTGTATGTCTGGCATGGTATGAGAGCACCGTGTTGTGTGCACATCTGCGTACATGTGTGTCACACATGGGCCTCTGCTGACCTCCAGAGAACATGAGGGGACACCAAGGCCTGGGACTCGGTCCCCTCCCTCCACAGCAGTCACAGGTCCTCGAGGTGCTTCCACAGACCCCACTTCCCAGCCCAAGGTCGCCCTCCATGCTCACACGGGCCTGTCTGGCCCTCGTGCGGAGGTGAGGTATTCCACACCCAGCCCTGCCAGCCCCCATCAGCCTGGGCAAGTGCCCTTTCCCACATGCCTGGCCCCACCCTGCCCTCCAGCGCCTCCCTGACACTCTTGTCCCTGTCTGGCAGAGCCCAGTAGCTGCCCAGGCCACATGGCACAGGAGTCTGCCCACGGGCCCATCCCACCCTGAGCCGCCTGCCCTGGATTCGCAGCGATGGTGTCAAGTGGCGCCT